TGAAAGCGACAGTAAGTCAATCACAGGGTTGGTTTTCAATTTTTTTCAACATTTTCATCAATTCAAAGCTTTTTTGAAGAAGATTTAGAAGAGAGAAAAAGAAATGTATATCCGCCTTAATTTCCTCCTTTCCCCATCTTTTTGTATTATTTCCGCCATGAGTTATGGTGTGTCCAAAACATGCAAAATATCTTATTATAAATGAAACGAACTCAAAATGCAAAACCATGAATGCCATGCATTCCTTGATTTAGTTTTGTCTCGGTTCGATTATGTGCCTGTGGTTATATGAATTTCTATAATACTAAGAGGTTGGAATGTTTATATGTGCCTTATATACGGTGGCACAGAGGTGACATGTGGGTGTCTTTATTTATCTCGTTCCCACGAGATAATAAGTCGTTCCCACGAGATAATATCTCGTTCCCACGAGATAATAAGTCGTTCCCACGACATAATATCTCGTTCCCACGAGATAATTATCTCGTTCCCACGACATAATATCTCGTTCCCACGAGATAATAAGTCGTTCCCACGACATAATATCTCGTTCCCACGAGATAATATCTCGTTCCCACGAGTTAATTATCTTGTTCCCACGAGATAATATCTCGTTCCCACGAGATAATTTCAGCCAATCAAAACTAAGTATAGTGGAAAAATTAAAAGTTATTTCCCTTTTTTTAACAAATGCTAAAATGGACTTTAACAATCAGGCTAATATTAGAAACCTACGAATGGTAACGAACCATCGTGAGAACGAGATATTATGTCGTGGGAACGACTTATTATCTCGTGGGAACGAGATAATTATCTCGTGGGAACGAGATAATTATCTCGTGGGAACGAGATATTATGTCGTGGGAACGACTTATTATCTCGTGGGAACGAGATAAATAAAGACACCCACATGTCACCTCTGTGCCACCGTACTTATAAGTACATGTATTTCAATTTTCAGGTGCTGCATTGTTGAGCTTGCTTTGCCTTATAGACTTTTTTGTTTATTGAAGTACGATATAAGGGGTCAGTTTGCAAGAGTTTTCGTACTGAAGCAGTGTCTTGCCGAGTCAATTTTATGCCAAGAACTTTTAAATGCTAAATAATTTAGACATCAAATGATTCATATAAATATTGTGGTTAAAGTATATATACAGATCAAGTGTTTTTAAAAAAAAACGTTTCTAATGGAGTACATGTTGCTAAAAGCCGTCTTGTTATCCGGACATTTTTAGGTCGTCTTCTTTAAATCTTCAAATAAAGGTACGGGGCATCATTATAAATAATCAAAACCACACCGTACAATCAAATGAGCAGACAGCCGTTCAACCGTCGACAGCCGTAACAGTGTACGAGTATACATGTCGGCGCAGAAAACATAGATACTAATATCGATAGCTGTAGTACATTTGCCATGGCGAATTATTGTATATCGATTTGATGTAAAATGACAATGCATATTTGAATGAAATGATCGTCATTTTTTAATATACATCTATGATGAATGGACGATATTTGTTGGAAATGTGTTGTAGTGATCCCATTGGTTGTTGAGCTATACTCGCCTAAAACGTGTTCAAAAATGCAAATGTGTATATAAAAGCGCCTCCTCCTTATTTGCATAGCGGTTTTCCGTTTGCTGTCATTTAAATTGAGACAATACTTCTGGGCGTGGACATTCAATCGTGCATGAAATCCACGCCCAAAGTGAAAGTTTACGAGATCTCACGTGCCTAGAAATGACGTGGAAAGACAATAACTGGAATAAAATCAGTAAAAAGACCAGTTTTCTTCCTTTTGGATTTTAGAGTTTCAAGTGGATTGATGGTAGATATTTCTACAAAGACAGTGTTAAAAATGAATTGTTTAATTATTCAGGCTGGTCTAGTTTTGATAGTTGCTGCACTGGTATTTGCAGGTTTGTAACCATTTTTGCTTCAATTTAAGCTTAAGTAGGGGAAATAAAGCAAAATGCTCCTAAATTTGTATTTTTGTTACGAAATTCGAAATACTTTAAATAATTCAATGGCAAAAATCTGAAATTTGATTCCTCGGCATGGTGTCCAAACACCATTAATACATGCACTAATTTCAAATTAGCAAAAATGGTTAATCTATATCAATTTGTGAGTATTAAGTATCAATTATTTCATTTCTTGGTGAATATATTTACCGTTTTTTATTTTTTAACAATTTTTTCTTTAATATGTTTATATTCCAAGAATATGTATACTTTCTGTGGTTGTTGCTCTCTTTCTCATTTCTTCTTACTGGTGTAAAATAAATAGAATATAAAAATAATATTAAATGATACTTTTATATTCAATATCGTCATCGAACATTTTTTGCTTAATTCATTCAGGACAAAAAGCAACTTTGGAGGAGGCAATCACAGAAAGTAAGGCTTTAAATGTAGACCATTTTTTCACATATAGAAGATTAAATTGATCTTACAAGTAATGTTCAGTTTCTTTTCATTCATTTCTTCACAAATAATTTGCATTATTTTTAATTGCCTCTGTATAAAGTATGATAGGTAAATATTATCCACAAAATTTATAAGCTTGAATTAAAGATGTTCGTTTTATATTTTTATTTTGATGACTAAACATGTGACTGATCAGTTTGCTTTTATTTATTTATTTATTTAAATAAAATACGTTTTTGGGCTAATCTAAAAGTTTTAAAAATCAAAATTTTTTTTGTTAAAAATTAATACTATGAAAAATTTTTTTTCTTTTCAACTCTTTTTTTTTGGCCCCGCTGTTTTTTTTCAAAAAGGCCCCCAAATTTCATTTAAAAAAACGTTTTCTCCCTATTTTCTTTTTTATTTTCATTTTTTCTATAAAAATCGATAAACAAAAAAAGATTACATCTTCCCGAAACGACCATTTATTTCTCAATGAAAAAATAATGAATTAAAAAAATTACTTTTTCAAAAACACGTGTTACAAGTTTAATATTTTCTCTAATTAAATGACTTGTCTTTTTTCCCCGTATATAAATGAGTTATTGATCTCATGTCAACATGTTAATAATTGAATTGTTAGAAAGTTGTGGACTTTTGATTTATAGTTATAGTGATAGTTTGCTATTTTATCAATTAAGATTTTTGGAAAAGTTTAAAAAAAATATAAAAAAAATAAATTAAAATTAAAATTCCCTCCAAAAGAGAATGAAATTTAATTTTCAGTACATGTACTTCATTTATTGTCAGGATTGACCGCTAGAAATGATTTTTAAAATAATCTGTTTTGATACACAATATTCAATTTACAAACTGAAACATGGCTCATCTTTTAGTAAAATATTTATTTTTATTGCAGAAATTTATTTAAGTACATGAAATTCATACTAATTATGTCTAATTTGAATAATAGAATGCACAAACTGTGTATTGGAAGCTGCATTTCCAATTACTAGTCAAGCAAAGTTGGCCATTTCTTAAAAAACTGCTAGTCTTTGTCTACCTGTAGTTTGTAGAGTTCAAAACATTATGAATATATTCTGTGTTTACTCAAAACATGTTAATTTGACCTTTACAAAGGAATTGTGTAGCAATTTCCAATATTTTCAAATATCAAATATGAGCCTATTTTAACAAGAATGCATTTTGCTACAAGTTGTATCAGCATGCTATATATGTATTTCGGTCAAATTTTCAAACTGATGAAAAAATACAAGGCAGTTTTAAAACACAATAGTTTGTGAAAATATATCTACACTTCAAAGATGTTTAACCATAAATAAAAAAATAAACAGATACAAAAATATTTTTAACGAAGACGTCTCTTCCCAATAGGCTATCATCTATAATGTCCTAACGAAAGGGCCGAGAAGTTGCAATCGTCTTCTTCCCTTCTTTTCCGTTCGATACCTTTGACTAGGTTGTGTCGGGGGGGGGGGGGGGGGTTGCTACATTTTGTGAACATCACCTTTGTTCTCATTATTTCAAATACCATACGTGTGTCGAGCTCCCTCTCAAAAGACAAACTGCAAAAGATATGTATTGTTTGTAAAATCATTTGCACGAACCTTTTCAAATGAGCACTATGAACTTAAGACAAATGATAATTTTGGTTTCGGTAAAACTTAAACTTTATCGAATTCGTTACTGAATAATCATTATTGGCATTGTTATTCGGTTTTAGATGTGCAATTTTTCAGCTTATATACGTTTTGTTTGATTAGTTTAAAACTTTAAGAAAATTAATGATTGTATGACTTTACTTCCTCAGACCAGCGTGCAGATGGCTGTGTTTGTATATCGACTAATTTCGGCTGTGAAAATATTAAAATGAAGGGAAAGCTGAGGATGCTACAGACTGGATTTTGTAAACTACGATGCTGTACGGAAGGTATGTATAGCATTTGACCGTCTGGATTTCACAGCTCCTATTCATAGAAATATCCATTTCCATTTAAGGGTACTTTAAGACGAAATACAAAGCTAGCAAATATTAGTGAGGATTGTCAGTCAGCCGCATGTGCATGGTGACCTTTGGTGACCTTGCTCTATCTTCGTTGCAAAAGAGTTATTCAGATCCGTGCTAATGTTTTATAAAAAGTTAAAATATTCAAGTAATAAAATTGCTGTGCTATTAACTAAATTGATAAACATATTAAAGGAAAGTGTGCAACATACATGCTTACATATTCCTTGTCCTTTTAGTAACGAGATTGCAATGCGTTATAAAGACTAAATTCTTTCCATGTATGCATAAAAAGATATAGTTTTTCATCGAATTAAAATACAGCTTTCAAAATGTAAGTTTAGATTTTTCAAATCCTTGTATATGATACTATTCATAGAATATAAACACCAAGTCTTTTTATAAAAATTTTATTTTTTTAGGTTTTTCAAGTTTTTATTATTATAAATTTAAACATAAATTTTTAACCCCTTCAGCCGCTTTTCCCGGGGAAAAGAGGAAGTGCCCGTTTCTTTAATAAGTTTTAGTCCGGGAAAGCTTTTCCCGGGGAAAAAATTGGGGGGACTTATTTAAAAATTTGGGGGAATGTTGTCCGGAAAAAAAGGGCAAGAGATACGAGCTTTGAGAGATAATCAAATCAGGTAGGAGTACAAGAACATGTAAAATCACTTTAAGTCCAAGGATCAAAAGAAGTAAGCGAAAAATAACACAGTTTAAGTAAGCCTGTTCATGACAGATGGTTATATAAACAATATCATGAATAATTCTGTCACTGGTTACACTTCAGCACCCGTCTAAAATGTTAGCACTGCAACTTATAAACCAAACAAGATGACCGAACTCATTAAAATGATAATACAGTACAGATTTCTTGTCTGGTCAGAAAACTGAAGAACTGTTGAAATATTTATAGCCTATAAGACACCTTTTGGTTGTTGTTGTTGTTGTTTTTGTTTTTTTTCACTAAAGATGCCATTAATAAGATAAATGCGTATTACCCTATTATTGCTTTTGTCATAACACTTTTATCTTTTATGTAGGCTATATATAGATTGTGTTGTCTATTTTCAGGTGAACATCACATTTTCAACATTTTATATTGACCACCCAAAAACTGCTTCAACTATAAACTTGTCCTGCTCACCAAAAGATATTTTAGATATATGTATGTGTGACAGATTGAGCGTCATGAGCAACTAGACATATGATATTATTTTATTTGTTTTACAGTTGTTCTCTTAACATTCATTTTCCATTTTCTCTTATTATGGTGTGTGAGCGCGTGTGCGTGTGTACGTGCGTGTGTGCAAATAAGAGCATATATTAAATCCTGACATGCAAAGTTACTTATAAACATAGATTTAATTTTGATTAAAAAAAAGATTAACAACAGCAGAAAATTATCAAAAAGCATGTGTTTCCTTGACTTTCCACTTATCTAATTTGTCATGTAAATTGTGTTAAGACCATTTTCATAACTTGTTCTGTATGTAGAAGTTTTAATTCAGCTATTAAAATTATTTGTGAAATAAATACATTTGATATTTCTTATACATCAGACAATATATTTACATAGTTATATGCATTGCATGTGGATGCAAGATTGTCGTCATGCAAAAAAGTAATTACTGTTTTCAGCTTATGTGAATTTTAATTCATTTCAAAATGTATGCTCGTGTATTTGACTTGAAATAAAGTTTGACAATTTTACAAATATAACGTGTTGCTGTTTTATCTTTTGTTTGTTTGTTTTTTGTTTTGTTTTTTATTCAAAATCTGTTGTTGTTTTTTTTTTTTTTTTTTTTTTTTTTTTGGTCTAGCTATTACTTTCTTGCATAGTTGCATAGTCAGCTATACTGACACTCATTCAAAGCGTTTATTTCCACCATTTCAATTCATGTAATATACTATGAAAATGTAACCTAACTTTGTCCTCAAAGAGGACGGTAGAAGTAAATGCACACCACCATGTCTCAAGTACCAGATTAAAACTTAATTCACGAACATTTTCTGCCAACAAAGTAGCCGATTTCATGCACCAAATGAATCTGAAAACATATCTTTAACTAGGATAAACAAAAAGGTGCATGTTTAATCCATTGCCTACATTATGAATTCATGTCTCGTTTAAGTTATTTTTGTACAGGAATGATGGAAAAACAAAATAGAAATAAACGAATGCCTCTACATTCCGCCATGGAAAGGATATGAAAATAAAAATAATACAGATTTGCAATCTCCTACGCAGTGATCTCCCCTTATCAGTACAGATATCTATCGCAACTTTTCGGCTCTTTCCGTATAGGTAATAGCCGAGGATGTTCTTACTACCAAGGGAGGTAATCACTGTGAGGAGTTTGCTGTACTTGATAGTAACTAGTGTATATGTGCATGCTTCTGTCCTGACCTAGATAGAAGTTTACTTTTGAAAAAAAAATGATTGTATACTAAAAAAAATAGGAAAATCATCAGAATCAATCGTAAAAGTACGAGTGTACCAATGCAAATGTATAAACTTAAAAAAAATTGTATTGTTAGCTCTCACTCTTTTAGAAACGAAATCTTAACAATCACAAATATAATTTGAGCTTTCAAGTTGTTTTACAATTCTAGTAAAAAAGAATAACAAAAAAAAACAAACAAAAAAACATAGGACACAAATAATACACAACTGTTTTTGGACAGGTATATCAACGTTGAATATACAAAAAGGTTATAAAAATGGGGCCACTTATCCATTGAAAGTCACACTTATTGATCTGAATACTTAACCTCGGGGTAAATAAACTGGGTTTCCCAGTAGGGGCCTAAAAATGATTTACTCAACAATGATGTCTAACGGGTATATTTACTATATTCATAGGCCTGCATGTTTAAAATATATTAATTTTATAACAAAATTTCCATTATATTGTCACAATATTTTTAAGAATTATATGTGAAATGGATCCATACTGTTATTGACAAGTACCTAATAACGGAGACTTTCTAGCATTAACTAGGAAGTGAAACAAGAATGCTGTGCACGAGATACCTGCACGTGATTCCGTTATCATAAGGTTTTATTTTTGCTAATGGTAATTACATACCGGGAAATAAAATGACAAGCATTTGAAGCAACATTTGTGCAGATGTTATAGGGTATATATTTTATATAGTACTGGCAAATGTTTATATAACAATTATAATATTAATGTATCATATAAAAGTAAGCATTTAGATACTAGATATGGCAAAACACCAAGCACACCATATTATCCTATAAAATATATATTTCCATTTTCTGTATTTATTCATTCATATAATTACAGTACAATGTATTTTTTGTATCTATCAATATATATTCTAATGAATCATGTTTGTCAGTTAATGTAATATTGTGTATTTAATCAAATAATGACTTTTATATTTGTATCATAAATTGCCTGTATATATAACTTCTCAAGATAAATGGAAACATGAACTATTATTACCCGAAACATTCGAATGGAAAAAAGTTTATACAACTGTTCACAAAATTATCAGTCAGATACTTCCAGTACAAATTAATAAATAGAATCCTAGCAACAAATACTTTTTAACTAAGATTGGAATAAAAAATGACAATACGTGTTCTTTTTGTAGGGAAAATAACGAAACACTCTTACTTTTATTTTATGAATGTCGGTATGTTTGTCAATTTTGGCAGACTATAAAAAATATCATTAAATCTAAATGTCCGAATATAACAGATTATGAACTCTCAACTGAAGAAGTTCTTTTTGGTTTAACTGATACAAAGAAAACGGATGAAACATAATATTTCCTGTTGTAAAAGGCAATATTTACACGTGTAGGTATAATAACCAAAACTTCAATAAAAAATTTTTTTATAATACCCAGTTCTTCATTGTAAAGTCGAAAGGTGTATCGTAACTGGGATAAATTTAATAATAAATGGTGGGGTACTCCTGACTACCGACCTACTTTTGGGATCGAGAGTTGGGAGTACAACTGGTATGGCCTGGGGCGCGCGATGCCGAAGGAATACAATGTTGGAGCTTCATATTCTAATGAATTTACAGGATAGTATCTTTTGTTACGTCAGTATTCACTACGACCCAAAAATCCATTTTATACCGTCTACCTGGCAGAGCTGACCCTTGACACAGACCTTGCTCTATCATGTCCAGCAGGGTCTTCTTCTCAGATGTGTTAGTTTCAGCTAAACAGTCCCTAATTCTAAAAGCATTCGGAATTAACTAACTCTAAACAAATGCTGCGTTTCTCTCGGACAGATGAATAATTCTCAGTGTTGTATCATTTCTAAAAGTAAATTTATTGCAGGCAAAAATATGCCAGGATATACAATTAAAATTGTTAAACATAATTTCATCTTTAAATCAGTAGTGCCCATTTCAATAAAGAAAACGTGTCATTAATTTGGCTAAACTAAACTAACGGGAGCAATAAAAGCCGGCAAAGAAAAATTGAAAACAGGAACAGATTCTGGCTTATAAAGGTCTGATTTGAGCAGTCGACGCAAATGATTAATGTTTTAGATGCAGAACTTCCCCTCTGGAGAGTACTCATTTTCTTTTTTGAAGGGGCATGTGTACCACGCTGTCTCATTTTTTATTTTTCATATTTATTTATTTTATTTAAAAAAAAGAAATGTTTACAAATTTTATGAACTTTTTAGTTTTAAATGAGTGAAAAATGGTAGTTGAAATATATTTATATTTCAAAATTTGGAATGTAAACCTCCCTTATTTTTTTGCACAAATATTCTGAATTGTATCAAGATAATAATTATATGAATATATAATAATGCCTCCATTGATATAGAAAAATATGGCCGGTTTCTGTTTAGACACCTGTTCCAATTTTTTTCAAAATTACCGTATGGTACGGATAATAGTACGGATGATAGCAAAGAAGACTTCCTTTGCACATGCGCAGAAGCGGAAATAATTTTCCCAAAGGTTTATCGGCTTGCAAACTTTACAGAAAACACATGATTTATACGCAATTTTGAGATCGTAATGAAGTGATCAATTCAGGTTAGGCAGACTTTCAATAGATGATTCAGAAAAAGTTGATTCAATCAAAGCAATTTTCTTTAATCTGATATTTTTGTATGATTTATCTGTCAAATTCCCTGTAGCCAATGTAAACAATCTGGATGTCACTGTCATTGTCGGCAATATTCCGAGTCATTCACCGAAGTTTATTTATCAGACTGTACAAATTACAAATAAACTATTAATCATATGATAAAATGTGATATAATTGTGTTGTTGTAATAGTAAAAAATGTCTAGATTAGTTTGATCCAAACAATGACACATGCCTGACATGGTGTGATTGAGTGTTATCACAGTCTAAGTCTGTATAATTTTGTAAGACTCTACTGCTATGAATTATGGCACTTTAGAAGTATTGATAAACAAATCTCCAGCCATTAACCAGAAAACTGACTAGGATGGCATCTTCAAACATTTAAGCCCTTATTTTCATAGATTTTAGAATTTGTCATTCAATACATTTATAATTTATTTTGTAACTTTCAATCACGGATTTATATAACAGGGATCGGACACTCCCAGTTAACCCTATATAAATGCTTAAATATCTTGTCGTGCACCCGATAAAGGTACATCGGTCGATAATTTATCGGCGCTAAGCGAAAATGCCCGTTCGCAACGGATACCTACTTTACAAAATACCATATAGCTTTTCCATTTATTATCCGATTTTTGAAATTTAAAGTTTATTTTCAAGAAAAATGCTTGTTTAATACAAATATTTAATTTACTTTTTAAAGATACAGACTATCTGTCCGCAACGACGATTAAGAAATTTACTTGACGAAATCCGCGGTAAATTTACGTTTTTTATATAAAAAGCAGGTATTTAAAATTTATTATTACGGTAACATGATAAATTCAATTTCAAAATAAAAAAGAAGCCGATGGAAGTTATTCACAGTTGATCAAAGATGCAATATTTAAGATTTATTTGGTTATGTAGTCAAATTAATTGACGCACAATTGTTTTACGGGAAAAGTATTGCGGGCTTTACAATTCGCTCAACATGTAAAGTAAATTTATTCATTTTTTTAAATACAAGATATTGCTGATACAGTCTGTGCGAAAGTCCGTCGGTCCTCGGTCCTGGCCGAATAAAAATCATGCGGTCCGAGATAAATTTCCTTTCCGTCAGTCCTCGTGTCTGTATAAAATTTCCAAAAGTTAAAAATATTAATGACCTGATTGATAACAAGTACCCCGTGATGCAAAGAATTTATTAAAAGATATTGACCAACCTTAACTTTATTTTGTACATGTCAAATAAATACCAGTCAACTCTGTCTTCAAAAAGTTTCATCAACAACGGTAAATTTTGCCGTAAAATACAAATTTGAAAATTTTGTTTTACGATGCCTGTTGAAATAGCAGATGAGTAACAATCTTAAAATAATGAGAAAATATTTAATTTAATATACTCAAAATCAACAACAAGTAGATTTGTGAATGTTTATGCAGGAAACAGACAAATTTTCAATTGTCACATATTTTCGCGATGCCGCTTTTTATAATTAAAAAAATCGTAACCAAAAGGAAGATATGTTTTGTTAAAATGTGTGTCATAACACTTAAAATGTAGTTTAGGAATTAAAATTACCAAAGATATTGTTTACTTTAGTTGAAATGGAGGTATTTACCTGTATGTGTTTGTCACATACAATGAATATTTTCTTATGGGGGGTGGGGGGGGGGTGGAGTGAATCTGGAAGAAAAGAGCATAATGGTCTGATGATGAAGGGTTTTTGAAATTATATTTCAAATCTTTTCAATCACTTTTATGGTACAGTGTTGGGACATATTACCATTTTCCTGAATAAGCTTTTTCTCTGTTCAAACTCCAACTCCCCAACCCCTTATTCTGCTCATATACATCATAATCGTCAACTGCATAAGTGCAGCAAAGATGGCTGTACATATTCAAAGTGATCTGGAACTCTTACATTTTGTGCTTGGGAGTCCCAGGACTCCTACTTTGAAAATTCTAGTGAGAACCCTGCTTAAGTTATTTCATATGGTCAGCATCTTCTTGTGTTTCTATATGATGGTCACAGTAATTAAAGTCACACTTATTTAAAGAAAGACGATCATTTTTACATTCAACTTATTATAAAATAATGCTTGAAATGTCAGGGCCGGAAAAATATCATCCGGGCCGGAAATAAACCTAAGGGTCTCGGTCCTTGTGGCCTGAAAAAAAAATTGACTTTCGCATAGACTGCTGATATTGTCAATACATGTATTGCCATTTTCATAGGATATTTAAATTTTCTTCATCATTTATATCATTATTATTTTTTTTGTAAATCTGTTTTCAAATGTTGGTGCAGTGAAGTAGACAATCATCGTAACAGTAAAGTACTCTCGTGTGGCTGTCTCGATTCCAGCCTTTTTACTGTCACTCGTATATTTTAATTATTTCACTTGTATATTTTAATTATTTCTGATATTTTTTTTAATGTTACGCTAAAAAACAATAAAAATCTTTACAGTTTGAGTCAGTATTATGCGAAATTAAAGTAACTGTTGTTTATTTTTTACACATTGCTTAAATTTCTTTGAAGTTTAATTACTTTTGAAGGGGGTTAATTACTAGGTAACAAGTGATAATTGAAAAACTTTATTTTCAAACTTTCATTATCAGGTTACATGTGATAATTTCAACTCTCAATCTTTATAGACAAATAGAATTTGAATGTATATGTTGTATGTGCGCGGTCTTTAACTACAGTCCATGGCATGTGTGGTAAGAAAATGATTCTGAAGAGGATATATATAAATACAATGTAAATCTATTTTCTTTATTAACATTTATAAATGAAATTGAAAATAAACAGCTTAATTTGTATAGTCCTTTCTTTGAAAAATAATGAATATAAACATATGACAAATAAATCATTTGACGTGAATTGTGAAGGATAACTATGAAAAAAAAATCTGTTTCAAAAAAAATTATAAAACAGCTGTTCTGTATGCCAATAAATGTTTCTTCCTTGCCAATCTAATAAATTCATCTATATATGAACGATTGTCCAGAATAATCTGAAAATATATTTAATACACTAATTAGTAGAATATTTACTATATTTATACTAATATACATGTAGCTCAAATAAAAATGTACAAATCATTTGGAAATAATTCACAGAAATAAAGGCACATTTCAAACATGAATTTCTTTAAAAGTATTTTAGCAATCAAGAAACATTTTTTGCAATGCCACCATTAAACCATGTAAAAAATAATTACCTTAATCTGAATCGCGGCAATAATTTATGCTTGACTTAAAGGGCGTCAAAGTGTAGAGAGTATGCCTAAACAATAGACAAATATTTTTTAAATTAGGTACTTTTTAACTAAGGGTCGCAGCGTTCTATCGGCATATTTTCATATATTAATACTTTAGCTGCACAAAATAATACTGTATCAATACATTCATATGTGTATAATTTTTCACAAAGCTGCAATAACACCACATACTCTTGTGAAAATATGTCATATTTCACACTCCGAGCGTTCCGCCATCTCATTCTGTCCACCTTTATCCGATTCCGCGCATGCACGCGACGGGACTTTAAGCTAAATGAAAGTGTCCGATCCTTGTAATATAAATCCGTGCTTTCAATACACCAACTGACAGTATCAATATGAACTATGTAAATAACCGAGGTATATCATGTGAAAAAATAGGAGTTGTTTCCCTTGTCGTTGAGTAAAATCTATATCTCTAATGCTAAAACAATGCAAATTTGGCCGTTTTTAATGTCCAGTTTTAAAATTTATTACACCAATGAAAAGCTTTTGATCTTAGCTTCCTCTCAGTATATATTTCAACTCATTGTTTGACACTGAAGGTATTTAAATTTAAGGTTAAACCTACCACAAGTCTGACCATTTTACATGTATACGTTTTATACAGTGACATATGCAACCAGTTATCTTTACTCGCAATTCTACGGATAAGAATAGCCTGTTGTGTGCTAGACATTGCTAAAGGACTTTACCCAACATCTTGGCCCATACTATATAATTTATTAATTATAACCATGGCTTTTGTTACACTAAGTGGCATATAATCAAGAATTTACCATAAGCGGGATTTTTCATATAAATAGATTTCTAAAATTCCCTTGTATCTCATAGCTTTCTCTGAAGTGACTAATCTAGAGTCATGTCTACATCCCCGCGAGGGGTTTGACATTAATGGAAGATAGATAGATAGATACTTGGATGCATAAATATTATTAATATTTTACCTCTGAGGCCTAAAAACCCATCAAAATTGTCAGTTTCTTCTCTGGCAAACTACACAAAAAGGCACTGCTACCCAAAATATCTTATTCCCAAACAAAAAACAATTCTTTTAATATACTCATATTACTGCATGGAAGTAGTCTTTCAATGAGACTTTGTATCTTTTTATTTTTGTTTCCTGTTTTTTAATTGTAAATACGCAAACTACGATATATTATATTTATATGGAATAAAACTTAAAAATTTTGATCGTAAACTTTTTCAGATTCTTAAGCGTTCAAAACATCTTTTTTGATATCCATACATATAGTTCATGTATATTCCATAAAAAAAATAAGGCCCTGCTTTTACTGAATAATTAGAATTTAATGCTGGACACCTTGAGTAAGTGGTTGATCTCTTTTTGTCACAGAATTCTTGATTAAAAACAGACTCCTGGAAATTAAAAGTGATGTAAATTCCTGCATGATACGCTTGCATAATGCAATACATGAAAAGTGAGGAGAAAAAAATGTCTTCATTCAATGTTAAGTTTTTTGGTTTTTTTCCAGAGATAGTGTTGTGAAAGAAGATGTCTTTATTTAAGGCAAGAGATTGGTGGTCAACAACAGTTGGTGAGGAGGAGGAATTTGACCAAGGATGTTTGTGTGTGGCTAACATTGATAACTGTTCAAATGAACTAGGTATTGTGACTGTTGTCAAACTTGTACCTTATAACTTAATACTTTAGTATATCATTTTGACTCTAGAGAAAGTAACATCAAATTTGTTATTAGAAATACATTTGAGGAATTAATAGTGAAAAATAAATAGTCAACAGCAAATTCCTAAAATTCCCTTTAAAATACCAACATTTCGGCAATAATAGGTAAACTATGTCAGCATCATATGAGCATTGATTTATAGCATCATGTAAGTGCAGGGCCTTTTTTCAAAGGTAGGGGAAGCAGCCTTGCCCTTAATTGTGGGGAAAAATTACACTGTATTTTTGCAGAAGGGGAAGAAAAAATTTGTTGTAAATTCAATTTTTCGGGAAAACTGCATGATTTTAAAGAATTTTTCTTTGGGGAAGCAGCCCAATACCGGCCCCTCCTATAGAAGGTAAAAAAGCCCTGAAGTGTGACTAGGTATTGGCTGAAGTTGGATTCAAACTCGCTTTCCTTATGTTAAAAGGCATGAACAGTAAAGTTTATTTTGTACCATAACTTGGCATACATGTAAGTGATGTTTTAAAGTATGGATTTCCAGTTGGAAAATGAGATTTTCAAATAAATTACAATAGAACATATATAATTTACTAAAATGATAAATTTTCTAATACATCTTTATGAACATCTTTGAATTTTTATTTGCAGACAAAATTATAATTGGAAGTTACCATGGTATTTTGAGAATATTCAATCCTAAACCAACCAAGGTTGAAGGGGGCTGGAGTGGATTTAGACCTGAAGATGTGCTCCTAGAGTCTTCCCTGCAGGCCCCAATCCTTCAAATAGAAGCTGGAAAATTTGTTTCGTAAGTGTTTGTTGATTTGATACTGCCAAATCATTATTATTTGTTTGGCACCATTTTTTTGTGGTTTTCGTGGATAGGTCAATCCTCAAATTATGATCCAACAATATTTCAATTTGTCTGCTGTAAAATTATTTTGCATCACATTATTTACGTTTTACTTTTTGGAAAAATAAACAGTCCAGGAATTTAAGAACCCATGAAAATGCTGTTTTTTTTGGGTTTTTTTGACAAAACCACAAAATTTCATGCCTACGAAATTAAGTGAATTCATAGTAGTTATGGTGAGAAGACGCAAACAATTTACTTGGCCATCACTGCAATATGAGCCCCAATGTAGCCATGCGGTGACGTGTAGGAGGGCCGACTAGTGAGTGTAAAAGCCCGGTGTGTGATCACAGGTGAAGCTCCCACGAGTGCAGATCTTGGTGGTAGTAGCAAATATTAAAACTAGAACAATCGCAAGTAGCCCAAGTAAAACATAAAATAAATCCATTTGCTAGGAAAAACTTCTATAACATTAAGAATGTCTTGTGATGTGGGAAATCAGTGTGAAATTAAGAATATGAGCTGACTGAAAAGTAAACATGAAAAGATTGTTTCCCTTTTAATCTTTTCTATAGAGTTACATTTTCCATTAGTTAAATTATGAAGATAATCAATAATAAGTTCAGATTACAATGTACTTTAATCTATGCTAGATATTGAGATACGCTTTATACAAAAAAATTGACTCTGACATATGTTACATCTAACATTCACAGTTATTGATTTAAACAATAGTTTTATTTGTATTTATTAATGTAACCAAGGAAACATTTTCTTATTGTAATTCTCAAATTATGTATTTTATGCCCCTCCCCATGTCAACAGATTTTGGAAACATTGTTTCTGTCGAGTTGGTTTTTCTTTGAAAGCAACTTGAAAATATTTGACAAGATCTTCATGTTATAAGATCTTCATGTTATAAGATAAAACCTTCATTATTTGGATTAGATTATCAATATATTTTTAATCTGGACAAGTACTTTATTTTATAATTTTGACAAATTGAAATATGACCTTCACCTTAAAATGACCTTGATAAACAAGATTAACTTTCATAACCCTTATCTTGCTAAATTTCTAAACAGACTTTGGCAGCTTCCATTTTTTGGAACTGTCCATTATTATTTTTGGGGATATCAAGATGAAAATTTGATGTTATTCTGTATAGAGCCTGGTCAGAGTGGGTCAGGCTAAACAGATACATGTGTATGTTGCCCTGGCTATACTGATGCTTTTCATATGGCAAATATTATCTCCCCTGACAGCCATTTTAGGTGTCCTTCCAAAATTATCAAATGCTTAAGATGAATTATTTCTCATAATTCTATCATCTTCTAGAAAGTTAATAAAAATCTTTTATGTATTGATGCTATAATAATACTTTGCTGTATCTCTATAAAAGATTTGACATTTCACGCAACATGGTAAATCATATGTTTATGTTGATTTTTTTAGATATTTTGTCAATTGTATTAAACAATATATTAAATATTGACTACCAATATGGCAAGGGAATAAGTATTGTAATAATTGAAAACTATCTATACTGTACACTTTCGGATTCAGTTATTTTTTAGCTCGACTATTCGAAGAGCTCAACTATTCGAAGAATATGAGAGCTATTGTAGTCGCCCCGGCGTTGGCGTCGGCGTCCGCGACGGCGTCTGCGTTGGTTGAAGTTTTTTGTAAAGTCAAATATCTCAATTATTACTTGAGATATTCAATTGAAACTTACAATACTCATTTATAGTAACAAGGTAAATCAGATTGACAAGTTGGATAACTCTGCCTACAATATTGACAGAATTATGCCCCTTTTTAACTTAGAAATTTTGGTTAAAGTTTTTTGTAAAGTCAAATATCTCAATTATTGCTTTAGATATTCAATTGAAACTTACAATACTTATTTATAGTAACAAGGTACATCAGATTGACAAGTTGGATAACTCTGCCTACAATATTGACAGAATAATGCCCCTTTTTAACTTAGAAATTTTGGTTAAAGTTTTTTGTAAAGTCAAATATCTCAATTATTGCTCAAGAGATATTCAATTGAAACTTACAATACTTATTTATAGTAACAAGGTACATCAGATTGACAAGTTGGATAACTCTGCCTACCATATTGACAGAATTATGCCCCTTTGGAACTAAGAAATTTTGGTTAAAGTTTTTTGTAAAGTCAAATATCTCAATTATTGCTTGAGATAATCAATTGAAATTTAAAATACTTATTTATAGTAACAATGTACATCAGTTTGCAAAATTGCATAACTCTGTCTGCAATATTTGCAGAATTATTTACCCCTTTGAAACTTAGAAATTTTGGTTAAAGGTTAACGGTCTTCAACGATATTTACTTGAAACTTTACACATGCACTTAGGGTCATAATTGGAGGGTCATAATTGTATGTCACTGACCAAGTTCCATAACTCTATCTTGCATTAAGGCTGATTCATATCCCCTTTTCTACTTAGTCTCTTGGTTAATGTTTACATGCAAGTTTTACAAATCTCAATAACTATTTAAGATATTTATTTAAAACTTCACATATGCATTTAGGGTCATAATTGTAGGTCACTGACAAAGATCCATAATTCTATCTTGCATTTAGGCTGATTTTTCTCCCCTTTTTCAACTTAGAAATTCATGGTAAAGTTTTGCTTGTAAGCTGTTATCTCAATAACTACTGAAGGGTTTGTGCCTTTTTTTGGACAATTTTATGCATTCATAATAATAAAGTAGTGATTTACTTGATAAAACATCTTAATAACAAGCCTTTGTACCTTTTCTGTCAAATTTATGTATTCATAGGTAATTAGTATTATTATACTCAATAAAAAACCCTTGTGACATTACCTTCCGAATAGTCAAGCCAATTCTGTATAATTAGACTCTCTCTAATGCCTATAACATGAATTTATAAAAAAAAATTAGCCCTTTTGTGAACTTAAAAAATTTAACAATATCAAGGCTCTTTTACTATCAAGCACTTAAAATAGTCGAGCATGCTGTCCTACAGACAGCTCTTGTTATATTTGTCATAAGAGATTTGTAGTTTATTAACACATTTTGTTCAATAGTGTTATTATACTTTCAGTGGTTCAGAGAAAACACACCTTGCAATACTTCATCCTAGAAAACTAGCAGTTTATAATGTAGCAGGTAAGTCTTAGATGAATTGTCACTACTTGCTTTATACAGAATATATTTTAGTTTGATTGTGTAGGAAGCTGCATGTTGTATAAGCTTATAGACACACTTGCGAAACCATTTCTGGAACCAACCAGTACTGAGCAATGAGTGTAAAGTTTCTTGCTCAAGGAAACAATAACTTGACCCGGATGTGGTTTGAACCCATGTCAATACTTGAAACCTCATTTCACCTTTGAGAGTAATGTCACTGTAAATACATGTAGTTGTTTACACTAAGAATTTTGTTTAATGTGTACAACAAAACAAATTTAAAAGAAAGAAAAGTTTATCCCTGTTATATTTTTTCACATTTATGACTTTTTTTGTGTGCTTACTTGGGAAGCATAGACTTGCTTGTGTCCGTATGTCAATACATAATTATGAAATTATGATTTCGTCTTGAAAGCTGATGAAAAGAACTATTGGTTTAGAAGATGGCAATAAGTTGCAAAACTTTATACGAATGTATATTTGAAAGAGATGCCTTGCATTTTTGGCTTTTAGTTGATAATTGCGCTAGCAATATATATTCGTGCAGATTTAATAATAGATTAATTGAACTCTTTGGAAAAGAAATAATATGCTCCGTTTGCCAGAGGCTCTGATATAACTTTATTCAACTTGTCAAATAAATTGAGTATTAAACCTACTCTCATTCAGTATCCTCTATTTACTGATACAAAACAGTCGTAAAAAGTTAATTTTATATTTCAGAAATGTCAGGGGCAGTTGAACATGGCACACAATATCAAATGACGTTAGCATACGAACATAAACTACAAAGAACGGCATACAATTTTACATTCGGACCTTTTGGACAGGTTAAAGGTAAGTCTCCTCAATGGTTTGTCTTTACTGTTTTGCACATGGTTTGCCTATGCTACCTGTTAACAGGATTTTATAGAGAAAAGAGCTTATCAGAAGTATAACTTTGTTTGAATTTGTTTTTGTTTAAGGTTATAAAGGGGTTTGGGGTGGTTGGGGGTTTGATATGTGCACATTTCATTATTATTGCATGTGAACATTTCCTATAAAAACTTCATTTATGTCAACACTCCTAATAGTATACAACCTGTATTTGTTGTATATCATGGGACAGAAAGAAAATTAGATAAATATAATGATATACTCTACTTGTGATGTTGAATATTTACTTGAATAGTTGATTTTATCAGATTTGAATGATACACTGTCTTCCATTCTGCCTACATTTAACTTGATGCTTATTGTTTCACAGTTCCAGTATAACAAATGGAGCCTATTGTTGCATTTAGTTAATGACATTTGACCCTTAATTTATTAAATGGACTTGTCCAGCTCCCAATTCGAACTGTCTATTACAGGGCTCATCCGGAAGGGCGATTCAGGCGAAAACTTCGCCGTGTATATTTCCATTTCGCTCTCCCAATTGATCAAAGAGAAGTCAACATCGCCGATAAAATCTTAATTCCCAAAGAGTAATTACTTGGCGATGTAAAGAGCAGAGATTGTATCCGCCCATATGACGACTGCTAATTATCATTATCCAATCAGAGGGTCGCTTTATACTACCTGTCTACCTGTATGCAAAGCAATAAACCGCCTACTCTAATCAGTAAATAATGAGAGCATCGGCCCGAAACGGGTATAATTGTGTGACAGTTTTGCGAGTTTAATACGGGATTAAGCGATAATTATATATTGTTTTTTCCCGATCATCTAAACACGTGCAAATCTTCCGTAATTGATATACACGCGGTGTTTAACCCGAGTAAAGGCGATGTGCAATGGGTTTTTCACGGCTATCACAAAACTGTTAGTCAATTTAAAATAATCAATTTCATAAATGATCAGCAACTGGATTAAAATCTTAATCATATTTTGAATGATTTGATTTCAGTCTGTTAACATCAAATAAAAATTGTTATGTCGCTCACGTCATGGCTACGAAATGCCCAAAGAAAGTTACTGATTCTGATACATCTACGCGAAAATTTAAGAAAGCCAATTCGCAAAAATCTTACGATTGGTATATTGTAGACAATGAGAGTGTTTGGCATTGTTATCTTTGTAGAAATGCCAAATTTGACACAGCTTACGCACGTGGGCACGACATCCCGGAAAAACTACGAATCATGATCGGCATGCTACATATCGGTCGTATATCATGTGTACATGTATATAACAACAAAATTTGTCAGGAAAGAAGTGTTCTTATTGTTTCAATATAGATATGAGTTTTAATGTCATAAATATGACGCTCAGATTAAGATTTATCAATATTGTAAATATCAAAAAGCATTATTTATAAAGATATTGCCAGTTTAACATTTCATGAAAATAAAGGGAGGTAATTAGAAATTTATTTTCTATAATTTCTCAGTCAAAGTTTTCAATAAGAAATGAATGTATATAATTTTAGTGATCAAATATAATGTGCACAAATGTTTGCAGTACATACTTTACATATTCTTCGATGTTTGAAAATTGTTTTATAAACATAATTATAAGCATATAAATGTGGCATTACAACATTGAAGGTCATAAAATTCATTTCTGTAAATCAGAACAGAATAGACAGATATTGTTAGTCAATATCCAATGTAGATATTGATAATCAATATCCAATGTAACTTTACCTTGTGTGAAAAGTGAAGAAAATAATAATATAACATTAGTTTATTCATCATATTTTTTCTTACACATTATTATCAATAAATCTACATGAAAATACATAAACAAATATTTAGAGAAAACTTATAAATAGCTCATAAATAGATTGTGTTTATATTATAGTTAAAGGATGTATAGCCATGCATGTTAATGCATACACATTGGGTTGTTTCCCTTCTCCCTATTTTTCGCGAGGAAGTCACTTCTCCCTAAAATTTCCACCCAGGATGAGCCCTGCTATTATCAATTTTGGGGGGGATATCACGATGGAAAAACCTAAAGTTGGTCAGCCAACGGTATATACAATGTAACATGGCCAGACTGCATAGATGTGCAGAATGCGCTAGCTCAGTACTGTTTATCAAGATGACTCACTTTCGATCCCAAGTAGTCAAGGGGTTAAATATTTTGGGATTATCTATACAGTTGACTCTCGGTAACTCGAAATCCAATGGACTGGGCATTTTACTTCGAGAGAAACGGAATTCGAGTAACGTGGAACTGCCGCCATTACGTTGACATTCGTACATGTATATACATGTGCCTGATTAAATGTGCAAAGAAGTACGTTTGTTATTGTTGTTAGCGGCAATGCTGCAATATTTAACCGTTGAAATGACGGTTAATCACAACTACAAATTATAAATGAACAAAAAATATCATTCAAAATTTAATACATGTATATTAATAGTGAAACATAAACACACAATTATATTTGATTTGATTGATCATCGGACAAAAACGAAAGTAGCAACTATCGGGAACCAGAAGTACAAATTAATGTATGCAACATAACGGAACATTATTTATACAAATGTCATTTACGTTGATAATCTGAGTAAATACATAAGCTCAGCCAATAAAATTAGAAATGATTTAATGCAAAGAATTTAATAAATGTTTGAAATAAAAAAGTTTACTAGACTAGACAGTATTATTTGAAATCGTATATGCATCAAGATTCTTACTTTTTTTCCTTAAGTGAGTATTATCTTGACATGTTTACATCGAAGTTATGCTTTTCAATATGTTATATTTATGTTATATTTAAATATATGAAATTACCACATACGATTGTCAGAACGCGCTGGTTCTTTAAACACCAACTTTGAAGTTATTTCAATTATGATAATTTGTTCATTCTCTGTGAAACACTGAAAACATGTTTGCTTATCACGTGCTTATCATTGTATGTATTTAATATGATGTTGTATTAACAAGATACATGTATTGTATACGTTAATAAAAATTCTGTTCTGTTCTGTTCTGATAACACACATCAATACCTAGGCTGTTATTTGACTAACACAGGTCAGACTGGCACGAGTCAACTTTCTTAAAGAAATGTTATTAAATTTTAATGTTAAAACCAATTAAGTGCTGAAACGGATTAAAGCCACTTATACGACGTATTAATAATACGTGATGATCAGCAATTAAAAATTACTATGAAACGTGTAAATCACGAGTGACAACATCTCACCTTGATATCGCCGACCTTTGATCAGTCGGCTGTTTTCACACTTTGACTAATTGAGATGAAAATATGTTGGGCTTTAATTGACGGGTCCAAATTTTCTTTTCAACTAAACAGGAGTCTCGGTAAGTCAAAATTTGACCTAAGCGGAGTTAAAATACATAGATAAAGAAGGAAATTTGACGGGACTTTAGAAATTCTTCGACTAACGCGGAATTTTGAGTAAAGCGATTTTAACTTATTGAGAGTCAACTGTATATCAAATTCCTTCTCGTACATGTATCATGAGATATGGTTTAACATTCCAGGGAAGGATTTTTTGTGTGTACAATCTATGGATGGCACTGTATCGGTGTTTGAACAGGAAAGTTTTGCCTTCACGAGATTCTTGCCTGGTGCTTTACTACCTGGACCTATCAGATATGTTCCTAGATTAGACAGTTTTATAACGGTGTCGTCGTCATGGCAACTGGAGTGTTACAAGTATGTTATGTGCCCAGTTTGTTTGAATTTTAAGTTGATTTTAACACATTTTTGGCCATATCTCGGTGGTCAATCTACCTATTCAGATTTCCTGGATGACTGAAAAAGAAATTTGCTATTTTGCTTAAAGTGACCAACTACTTACCAGTAAGTTATGTTAGTCTAGTAGCATGTTGAAAGTTTTCTTGTACTATCAACTATTTCATTACAGCTTCTTGTAACTAATTTAAAATAGGCTACAATTCCTGACAAGATTGACATTGGGGTATTAAAGGTATTGATAACAAATATTTGAGCCGTGCCATGACAAAACCAAAATAATGCGTTTGCGACCAGCATGGATCCAGACCAGCCTGCGCGTCTGCGCAGTCTGATCAGGAGCTGTTTGCTGTCAATTTCTCTACTTGTAATAGGGTTTGAAAGCGAACAGCAGGGATCCTGATCAGACTGCGTGGATGCACAGGCTGGTCTGGATACATGCTGGTCGCTAACGCACTATGTTGGTTTTGTCAAGGCGCGGCTCATTTATAGCCAATAACACCAGCTAATTTATCAAATCACCTAAGCTTAGATCTACCTTTTGTATCTATTTGTAATGACTTTAAAGCAGCAAGCCTGCAGATTCATGCTAATTTTCATGAAAATGTTGAAAATGTATTAAAAAGTAAAATATTGCAAAGTGAACAAAATAAATAATTTTCAAATTGCAAACAGCATTTACAGACCATAAAAACTACCAAAAAATGGTTTAAATATGCAAAATGTACCCTTACTGCATTAGTAACACAGTAAAAGGATAGTGAAAAATACTGCAAAATTGGTCATAAATGGCACATAACATGAAAAATCATTACATTTATCTTGAATCTTTTTACTTTTCTTAAAATCTTAGTAATTTCAAGTCAAGTATGATTTTCCTTAAATATTTTGGCTCATATTTAGGCATGCAGCTTTAAGGGCTTAGGTATATGCAGCTTAATGCACCATTTTGCACCTTCAATGAAATTACTATAATATATAATCATATAAGCCGCGTCACGACAAAACCAACGCAATGTGTTTGCGACCAGCATGGATCCAGACCAGACTGCGCATCCGCGCAGTCTGATCAGGATCCATGCTGTTCGCATACCATGAACCCTATTACAAGTAGAGAAACTGATAGTGAACAGCATGGATCCTGACCAGACTGCGCGGATGCGCAGCTGGTCTGGATCCATGCTGGTCGCAAACGTATTATGTTGGTTTTGTCATGACGCGGCTCAATTATGTTTTACAGATACCAAGTTTTAGCTGTGGCTACCGAGGCAAAATCTAGAGAAGAGTCTCAAAATATTAAAAGTGGCAAGAGAGTTACGGTAACAACAACCATTTATTTATTAGCTCGACTTTTTTTTTTTGAAAAAAAAAGTAGAGGTATTGTTATAGTCAGGTCGGCGTTGCCGTTGCCGTCTCCGTTGCCGTTGCCGTTGCCGTCCGAAAACTTGTACCTGGATCATAACTTTTTTATTTCTTGGTGTATTGTCTTCATACTTGGCCACAACAACCCTTGGGACAAGACCTTTCAGTAGACCACACTAACCTTGACCTTCATCCATAAATGACCTTGACCTTCAAGGTTAAAAAGTCCAATTTTTGCTTGTTCATGCTGTTATTGGCTGTTACTTTGTTATTTTTGAATGGATTGTCTTCAAACTTGAACATAATAATCTTCAAGGATATCCCTTAAAAATAACCAGTCAGACCTTGACATTCACTCATCAATGACCTTGACTTTGAAGGTCAAATTATTGAAATTTTCATTTTTTTGGCTATTATTGGCTGTAACTTTGTTATTTTTGGATGGATTGTCTTCAAACTTGAACATAATAATCTTCAAAGATAACTGTTAAAAATATACCGAAAGACCTTGACCTTCACTCATTAATGACATTGCCTTTGAAGGTCAAATTATTGAAATTTTCATTGTTTTGGCAGTAACTGACTGTAACTTTGCTATTTTTGAAGGGATAAACTTCATATTATAACAGAACATTCTTAAGGACCAGACCTTGTTGTTTATCAAACCCAAATTTGCTTGGGCTCTTTAATGACCTTGACCTTGAAGGTTATATTACTGAATTTTCTCAGATTGTGCATTTATTGGTGTGTGTGTATGTATAGTATATGTATTATATATATATATATATATATAAATGTGTGTGTGTATATATATACATATATGCAGGTATATATATATATAAATATATATATATATACATATATATATATAAATATATATATATATATATATATATATCATATATATATATATATATACATATATATACATGTATATAATTGCGTCATGTTTTTCTATTTTTAGAAATTGCGTCATTTTTTCTATTTTTAGAAATTGCGTCATTGTTGCTATTTTTAGAAATTGCGTCATTTTTTTCTATTTTTAGAAATTGCGTCATTGTTGCTATTTTTAGAAATTGCGTCATTTTTTTCTATTTTTAGAAATTGCGTCATTTTTGTTCTATTTTTAGAAATTGCGTCATTGTTTCTATTTTTAGAAATTGCGTCATTTTTTCTATTTTTAGAAATTGCGTCATTTTTTTCTATTTTTAGAAATTGCGTCATTGTTGCTATTTTTAGAATTTGCGTCATTTTTTTTCTATTTTTAGAAATTGCGTCATTGTTGCTATTTTTAGAAATTGCGTCATTTTTTTCTATTTTTAGAAAATGCGTCATTTTTGTTCTATTTTTAGAAATTGCTTCATTTTTTTTCTATTTTTAGAAATTGCGTCATGTTTTTCTATTTTTAGAAATTGCGTCATGTTTTTCTATTTTTAGAAATTGCATCATTGTTGCTATTTTTAGAATTTGCGTCATTTTTTTCTATTTTTAGAAATTGCGTCATTGTTGCTATTTTTAGAAATTGCGTCATTTTTTTCTATTTTTAGAAATTGCGTCATTTTTTTCTATTTTTAGAAATTGCGTCATTGTTGCTATTTTTAGAAATTGCGTCATTTTTTTTTCTATTTTTAGAAATTGCGTCATTGTTTCTATTTTTAGAAATTGCGTCATTGTTTCTATTTTTAGAAATTGCGTCATTTTTTCTATTTTTAGAAATTGCGTCATTGTTGCTATTTTTAGAAATTGCGTCATTGTTGCTATTTTTAGAAATTGCGTACTGTTGCTATTTTTAGAAATATGCTTAATGTTTCTATCCATATATATACAAAATATATAAACAAAACTAATGTGACAAGACAGACCAACTAAATTTATAAAAAGGAAACATCAATATATGTTCAAACCTTTCTATGTTTGCGTTTAGAAAAAGTAAAAAGTCGAGCGTTGCCCCCGCCCGGCGGTGGCTCTTGTTACTTTTGATTTATGTTTCCAACCCTTAAATGCTTGTATTTTTCCTGTATATATTTATATCACATACCCAATTTATTAATTTTGATTCATGTTACCAATCTTTAAATGCTTGTATTTTCCCTATATCATTTTATATTGCATACCCAAGCTGTTTTTTGTGACTTTGTTAATATGTTATTGCAAGATTGTGTGTATGTTTTGATGTGATGTCATTTTGCAATATATAAACATAGCATAAAAACACACTGAATGTTAGTGTAACATTATAAGTGTATCAATATAAAAGTGATTCTTTTGTTAATTTAATTGGTTTTTTTTTAATATGTGATAAAGTGAATATCATTTTGGAAAATTTTTGCTTTATATTACTTTTTTATCATTTATGCACTGGTAGAATGTTACTTCACAACATAATATTTGGCGGATTTTTTTGTTGCTTATTTGAGTTATTCCTGTTATTAACCCTCATTATAATTGCTATTTCTTTATGTATTATAGTTTGATTGGAGTTTTAACATTGGAGAACAGGCCCTGGATGTTTCTGTGATATCATTTCCCACCGCTCCACCCTCTATACTAGTCTTAGGTAAGATAAAATTAAATGAGCCGTGTCACGACGAAACCAACATAATGCGTTTGTGACCAGCATGGATCCAGACCAGCCTGTGTATCAGTTTCTGTACTTGTAATAGGGTTGGTAAGCGAACAGCATGGATCCAGATCAAACTGCGCAGATGTGCATGCTGGTCTGGATCCATGCTGTTTGCAAATGCACTATGTTGGTTTTGTTGTGACGCGACTCAAATGTTTTGTTTTGATTATTGACATTTATTACATGAAGAGGTGGCATTCTCTAAAAACTCAAACACTTGGCAGGTAAAAGTGGTTGCTTGATGAAAAAATTGATCTCAATTAGCTGACTGATTAGCCGGAGCTGGTCGCGTTATGCAAAAGTGGCTTAACACATTAAAGATTTGGAGAGAAAATGATCAGGGGAAATTACATTGGTCGCTAAAGGCAAAAGTTGCTGAATACACAAGGTCACATGGGCAAGTTAGACTGTATATATAATGCAAGTCTGCTCACTTAGTTCATTCAATAGGGAGAACGTTAGATTAGTAATACAGGGGGTTGCTGGTTTAATGGTCAGGTAAGGTGTAATTTCTCTGTGACAGTTGGTCATTTGTCTCTCACTGATGATTCAGAAATCATGTGGGATTAGTAGTCAAGTTGGTCTCTTGTAGAGAAATCTGTAATAACTGGTTAATTATCCAGAAAGTTTGGTTAGGTGGATCGGCTGCCGAGTGGTGGTCACTGTGGTGTGAAAATCTGTAATAACTGGCTAGTTATCCAGGAAAGTTGGTTAGGTGGATCGGCTGCCGAGTGGTGGTCACTGTGGTGTGAAAATCTGTAATAACTGGCTATTTATCCAGAAAGTTTGGTTAGGTGGATCAGCTGCCGAGTGGTGGTCACTTGTGGTGTGAAAATCTGTAATAACTGGCTAGTTATCCAGGAAGTTTGGTTAGGTGGATCGGCTGCCGAGTGGTGGTCACTTGTGGTGTGAAAATCTGTAATAACTGGCTAGTTATCCAGGAAGTTTGGTTAGGTGGATCGGCTGCCGAGTGGTGGTCACTTGTGGTGTGAAAATCTGTAATAACTGGCTAGTTATCCAGAAAGTTTGGTTAGGTGGATCGGCTGCCGAGTGGTGGTCACTTGTGGTGTGAAAATCTGTAATAACTGGCTAGTTATCCAGGAAGTTTGGTTAGGTGGATCGGCTGCCGAGTGGTGGTCACTTGTGGTGTGAAAATCTGTAATAACTGGCTAGTTATCCAGGAAGTTTGGTTAGGTGGATCGGCTGCCGAGTGGTGGTCACTTTTGGTGTGAAAATCTGTAATAACTGGCTAGTTATCCAGAAAGTTTGGTTAGGTGGATCGGCTGCCGAGTGGTGGTTAATCGTGGAAAAATCTGTAATAACTGGTTAGTTATCCAGGAAAGTTGGTTTGGTGGATCAGCTGCCGAGTGGTGGTCACTTGTGGTGAAATCAGTAATAACTGGTTAGTTATCCAGGAAAGTTGGTTTGGTGGATCGGCTGCCGAGTGGTGGTTAATTGTGGTGAAATCTGTAATAACTGGTGACTTATCCAGGAAGTTTGGTAAAGTGGATCGGCTGCCGAGTGGTGGTCACTTGTGGTGTGAAATCTGTAATAACTGGTTAGTTATCCAGGAAGTTTGGTCAGGTGGACAACTCCTGAGATTTAACCAATGTGATAAAATCAGTGTAAAATTTAGAGAAGCAAATAAACATAATTAGTTATTGTGTAGAAGGTATTTTCAAAAACATAGATCTATCTCCTACGTACTATGTGTGAATTAAAGGTATGGAATATAATAATTCAAATTATGCTATTTTTTTTACAGGAGAAAGAAATTTGTTCTGTCTGACAGAGTCTGGTCAGTTGAGATACATGAAGAAATTTGAATACGATGTTAGTTGTTTTAATCCATATGCCTCCAGTAAGTATAAGTTATTTTGATTTGATATTTTCATATAAATTTAAGAGGTTGGGGTGTTGATTGTTTTAACTCTGGATCACGGCAGTAAGCCGTCCTGAGCAAAGTTCAGGAACTTCTTTATATGCCAAAGCAAAGGTACACTAGTGCAAATGACTGTAGAAAAGATTTCATGATCATTCACAATTATAAGAATCTTACTCTGGCTACCAGTATTGACCGGAATATCTAGCTGGAGGGTAACTTTTTATGGCAGTAATAAGGCTGTGCCGAGTTTCTTCTAAACAGTTACCGGAGAGCTAGATATTACCATCTGTACCGAAAGCCGGTGTTTGATTCTTTTTCTTGCATATTACATATCAATTATTTTCAGAATAGAAATTACTGAAATTAATATTCTCATTATGCACTATTTTTCTTAGTAGTGTATGAGCTTACAACTTCATTCATAAGGGTAAACTGAAGTCATCCTAAGGACGCAATTCATTCATAAAAGGCACATGGTAATGATGTCATTCAAAGCACGCGACTTGTCTTACATGGGGGGTGTAAGACAAGTTTTTCTAGCACCGGTGTAAATGGTAGATAATCTTGTCTGATTTGCAAGAAATAAGTTACCTGCACCATTCAGGAATCAAACTCGGTATCACAGTCCAATGCTATACCTATTGAGCTAACTGTACTGCTATATATACATTCAAATGGAAGACTTATATATAGCTCCATTTTGACCCTACCCAATGCTGTCTGTTGCTCAGATGTTTTGTATTTTTAATAATAAGACAGTTATCTATATGGACCGTTATTTATATACAGTAATCTATGGATTTCATAGCTGGACAAGTTAATCAATAAAATATATATTTCGTGTTATTATTGTTAAATTTATTACGTTATTTTAGAAAAATACATTTTTGAAAACGCTGATTTTGTCTTTATATCTATGCCTTCATAATAGTGTTTCTGAGAAATAGTTATGGGTTTTAACCAATATCTACATTTTTAGGCTTGTACGGGACGTGGGTTTAAACGGTATATGAAATGAGACTTTCTTTATTTATGTTTCAGTTACAGAGGGAACTATAAATTATTTAATAGCATCGCACACACAGACATTAATGGTTTATCAAGACATATGTCTGAAGTGGGCAGCTAAAGTGGACAGTGTGCCCGTCATGGTACGAGTCGGAAACTTTCAGTAAGCATTTCTTTTTCTATCTATTTCAATATCATTTAGGATAAATATCCACATCCATAGTCCTAAATTACATTTCAATTTCATAGAAAGTCTTAAATGTATCCTAAGTCCTAGGACATAGATCCATATTTAGTACTTAACTAAAGACGATTTCAATAAATGGTTTTACCTTTAGTCAAAGACTTTTGACAATAATTAAATTTGTTTTACTGAGAAAAATTAAAATTATAATGAAAGACCCTTTTATTCGCCATTTATTGATGCTCATTTGTATTGCTATTTAGAAATTAAAAGATTAATGAGGTAGGAGTCATAAGTTAGGACATTTTCTTTGAAATACAAAATTGTTTCATTTTTGGTCTTAAGACTGGACATTTTCTTTGAAACACAAAATTGTCTGAGTTTTGGTCTAAAGACTTATGACTTTGTATGAAACACAACCATAAGTAAATTCTCAGCTGTGTCTGTCCACAGTACTTTAAATAAATAGGAGGCCATCTTACTGTAAATGGAACAATAGAGAACAAGAGAGTTTATTATACCCCCGCACAACAAAGTTGTAAAAGGGTATACTGGAATCAGCTTGACCGTTCGGCCATCCGGACGTCTCCCCGTCCGTCCGTCGGTTTTTCCTTGTCCGCCCAATAACTTGAGATTTCTTTGACCCACAGTCTTCATATTTGGCATGGAGGTTAGTCATGATTAGTAGATGACTTTTATTGATTTTGAGGTTACTGGGTCAAAGGTCAAGGTCACAGGGGCCTTGACTTTAAAAAGCTTGTCCGCCCAATAACTTGAGATTCCTTTGACCCACAGTCTTCATATTTGGCATGGAGGTTAGTCATGATTAGCAGATGACCCCTATTGATTTTGAGGTCACTGGGTCAAAGGTCAAGGTCACAGGGGCCTTGATTAAATAAAGCTTTTCCGCCCAATAACTTGAGATTCCTTTGACCCACAGTCTTCATATTTGGCATGGAGCCTGATGGAGGTAAGTCATGATTAGTAGATGACCCCTATTGATTTTGAGGTCACTGGGTCAAAGGTCAAGGTCACAGGGGCCTTGATTAAATAAAACTTTTCCGCCTAATAACTTGAGATTCCTTTGACCCACAGTCTTCATATTTGGCATGGAGGTTATTCATGATTAGTAGATGACCCCTATTGATTTTCAGGTCACCGGGTCAAAGGTCACAGGGATTTTACTATAATAAGCTTGTCTGCTCAAATGCTTAAGAATGCCTGTCCGCAGTGTATTGATTTTGACATTTTCTCATTTGAAGCATGGAGAATACTTAGCAATGCACTGACTTAGTAAAGGGAGGTTGTCCTTGAGCTCTAAATGGCCACTGTTGATTCTGACAAAGTGGTATGCGGGGGTATTCACGCCATGACAGTGGCAGTTCTAGTTAAATTTTGTAACAAAAGAATTATAATTTCACAAGCATGATTCCCTTCTAGGAATCAAGACAGATTCATGAAGACGATTTTACGTTTATATTGGCAGTAGATAGGAAATCAGACAATATTTTACTGGTAGGGGACAGCTGTATTTTTTTGTGAAAAGCTCTTGTTGTTTTTCCTTCGATATTATATGTCTTTGAGTCTTCCTTTACCAGTTCAGATGCAAATTGAAATATTCAAGTTTCATAACACATCAAATACAAAAATAAACAATTCAGATTGAAATCATAAACAAATGATGTGGCCTTATTTACGCACAGGGATCTGAAAGGAATTGTGGTGACGCTTAGTGACTCAGGAAGGCTAGAGTGCTCATATATGGGCACGGATCCAGCTCTGTTTATACCGCCTCCTGTGGAAGCCAGGGAGTTGAACTATGCTGATATGGACAAAGAGATGGCGCAGTTACAGAAAATAATAAAAGAGAAACAGGCCAATGCAGGTACGTACAGTCATAGTATATAGAGGATATTCAAGTTTTTTCTTTAAATACAGGATTTATTTCATGGAGTGGTATGAAAATAAATAATAATAAAATTATGGGTAAACTCCTTATATGATTTAATAGGAGTAAACCCATTACAGCACTAAGGTGACAAAAAATGGACCAATGAAATGATCAAACGCCATTGTTTTCTGATTGATTTTTGTAAAGCAAAATTGGTTATTTTTTTGTGTAATAACATGTCAGCTTTTGTACAGAATCTAGGATGACTTGTTCGGTAAAAATCGGAACAAATTGTTAAACAGACCTTTAACCGAAAAAGAACATACTAATCTATTAAGTGGACAAGTTGACAACTGCTTGAGGGGAATAGGTACTTACATAGCTAAGGATTGTAACATATGTCAATGCTTTTGTATCTCTGTAGATTGTCTGTATAACTTGACTTATTTTATTTCAGCAATTATGCCTAATCTGTCTGGTAAAGAAGAAGATTTGACGATTAATGTCCATGTATCACCTAGTTTAGATGACGTATCTGTAAGTTTGCTTTGATTCCCTTCTTTACTGTATATTAGAGCTTTCATTGATTTAGTGCAAAGCATATCAATGATATATCCATATCGGATGACAAATATCAACAATACATCAATATACATGTATATCTATAATTACCTATAATTAATTACTTGTCTGCCATTCACTTTCATACCTGTTTAAATGATTTCTTTAAAATACATGTTCTTTTCAGTGTCTTTTGTATAAATGTCCATTGCATGACTTTTTCCCTGATCATTTTGTTGTCATCACTGCTATGAAATGTGTCCATAATGTAACAACAGCTTAGTGTAAGACATGGACACCTGCTTCTGTGTATGTATTAGGTGAATTCTCATAATTTATAGACATTAATCTTTTCGCTGCCAGCGGGTTATTTATTTATTGATCACCTATTTGCCAGAAAGTTTTCTAAGAAATTACTATATTATTAATTAATATTATTATTATTATTTGTTATTAGTATTATAATAATTATATGTTTCCAAATCTGCTAGTATAATAATAATTATTGTCAATGGTATAATTATTTATATATTTATTTTGATGATTATTATTATTATAATTATTATTATAGACACGGCAAAAGCCGTCCATATGGCAAATACGCCGTAAATAATAGGGATGGCATATGCCGTCCCTATGGCAGTGAAAGGGTTATAATAATTAATCAAAATTATTGACTTTTTCACATGTGTATCGATTATTGATCGACAGAAAAATATCAACGATACATCGATATCGTCCCTATCGATGACAGCTTTACTGTATATCATTTCCATATTTTTTTAAAAGGATAGAAGTTTGATGGCCCTCAATGCATTTTTTTCCATCCAAGTGATGTCATAGACAACTAACATTATTTAATTGAAAAGAATATTTAAGTTTTTCAAAATTTGAAAGTGGTTCAGAGCTTTAATTATTCCCTAACAATATTTATAAATGTGAATATATGACTGAAAAGGTGGTTATTTTAATCTTGAACAATTTGTGTCTCTGAAAAATGTATACTTACAAACAAATAAAAAGATTAAAAGACCCTTGGCCTTTGCCATGAAACAGAGGAATTTTGCAATAGCTGCAAAAGCTGGAATGATAATTAATGAAGATAATATGAGATTGTTGTACATTTTTGGCTCACAATATGCATTTGATATGGATTTTTTTGGACTCAGGAAATGGAAATGAGGCTGAAATGATAATTGAATCAAATATTTGATTTTTATTAAAACATCATATGGTACAAAAGTGGTTCATTGGTTATATTTCATAAGGTGTGAAATAAATGTTGATATCTGTACAAACTTTAAGAAGAAAAAAAGTTATCAGTTAAGACCACACATTAATATAATGTTAAGTTTAATTTCTTCATACATTCACCATGTGTTGTCAGTTAAATCAATACAATAATTAGTTTAGTGTATAAACATGTGTATATTTCAGATGGCAACAGGAGTGGAGATCGACGGTGAACAGGTTCCCTCCATTACTGTCAGGGTAAGTTAATGAATGAAATTTCATGAACTTTTTAATCCTTTCCCCCCCTGCTGTAACCAAAAAAGTGACCAGCCTTTGCCACCAATAATAAAGCCAGGCAGGATTTGTACAGTTTGTAGTTCAAGCTGAATTTTTGTATTTCAATATAGATTTTCATAACTCCTTAACTGCATAAATCCTTAAACTTTGAATGGACTGCTACAAAATATCCGGACAAATCTGGCATGTTAACGATTACACAGTAAAATTGCTTTACAGAAAGTAGCCTAGATTTGATATCAATAGATTCTTATTTTGTAGTTAGGCATTTTTTCGTTGATAAAAAATATTGATAGGTGTCTCAATGGCTTAGGGGTTTTGGTTGCCGACTTCACTAAAAGCTATTGCTCCGTACTACTGTGGGTTTGAATCCTGACAAGTACTTCAGTTTTATCATGTGAGGAAAGTAGTTATACTGGTGCCTCATATTTCTGTGGTGCCCATATTTCCAAGATATAAGGCATAAACAGTATCAAGTGCCTCCTAGACTTTATGCACCTGAAAGGAGTTTAACAGTCACTTTCTTACTGTATTTTTATAGAAATGTTACATATACAACTAAGAAAACTTATTATTTTATTCATATTAAGAGCAAGGTAAATTATTTAAGTTTTCATACCTTTTAAGACAATTGTCTTTGTTTAACAACCATTGAGATACTTGATAAATACCATAGAGAAAATTCCCACTTTCAGATGGGGGTTAGGTATAGATGTACTAAAAAATAAAGATTTCCATTGGTTTCGCTTTTGACACTGTTAAAGTGTAATTGCCTTGGAAATATGAGAATACTCACTAGGCAGCAGAGAGGTGTTGATTTCTATTATGTGTACATAATTGCTTACATGCAAACATTAAATGAAATAAACTATGGTGTACTTGACATGTCTTTGCTACGATATTCAATATTATATTTTCCCGAATTTCATTCTTCTTACTTTTGTTGTCTGTTTTGAACAGTTAATTACCACGGAAATATGAGGCACCGGTATACCTTTCTCATAAAGCACTCCCTCTAACTTTCCTGACCCACCACACTTCCCCCATTCCAAAAAAAAAAAAAAAAAAAAAAAAAAATGGAGGAAAAATTGAAATGATAGTAAATGAAAATTTTGGTGCTTTGGTAGGGTAGATTATCTTCAATGAAGTTTACATATTGAAAGTTTCACTTGGAAATTGGGCCAGATTACATGTGTTTCCAACTGAAGGTGAATAGTTTTTTAAAAAAAAAAAGTTTCATTATTTAAAGAAACTAAGTTAATTAAGTAAACTGACTTATTGACTTTATACAGAGGTGAGGTTTGTACAATTTGCAATGAATTAAAGTCATACATTGACACTGAGATAGGTAAAATGTGTTCAGTCAACATTCAATTAGAAGTGTATCAGAGTTTTTGTTTCCTCTTTTTTTTTTTTTTTAATTTTCGGTGGAAAAGAAAAATCGTCATAGTCACACAGTCTGATAACATCTGTAATTAACATACTGAATTCTGACACCAAACTTTGTTGTCAATAAATAATTAATGAAAATTAATATGCCAAATGTTGCCTGTACTTAATAGATTGGGGACAGATAGCGAGATGCGATCAATTAACTTCTGTTACCAGTATTCTTGGTATTGATAAATGATAATTTGAAAATGTTCATCTTAAATGTTTCAAAGTTGTTTGATTTTTGATTCGTGATTGTTCTCGAATGATGATAGTACAAATGTATTATCTCTGTTACGACTCGTTTCTTGATCTTTAGTTGTGTAAAGCTATATATCAGCTCAGGGCTTATTAACCTTCTATAGCGAAGGCCGTTTAAGGATGACTTCTCCAAAGAAAATATTCAAGTTTTTTCTTACCCTGTTGCAAATATACCATATAATTCCCCTCTTTCCCCCCCCCCCCCCCTCAAATTAAAAGCAGAGCTGTTCCCAAATGTTTCAAAAAAAGCCCTGCAGTTCACTGTTGTCTTTATGTATTGGTTATATTCAGAAAAATAATCATTCCAAATTGCCTGTTTGAAATATGTTTGTATATTTTTAATAAGAGTGATGGCACATGTACAAACTGGCGTCTAAAGAATTAAAGCCCTTGTAAACTAGATGCATATTTTAGGAACTCTACAGCGGTCTTTTGACATGACAGGACTGGATCGTCTTTTTTTCTAGATTAAAGTTCTATTTGATGTAGATATAGCCCAACAGTTTGTCTGCAAAATTTCAAAAAATTTGCTGTCTCTGTTTTTCCAGAATAGTAATTTTGAAAAAAAAATTGATTTTTTTCTATGTTTTTGGACCTGAGTGGAGTTCCTTTAATATTTTGTTCTGAAACATTATATTCTGCCAATCACCAAAATTCCTGCACATAAAATAACAGTCATTTTATGTTACAACTCTGTTGAGCAGCCACTATAAGATTGGTTTATACAGAATTTATTTTAGTTCATTGTGTAGGAAGCTATGAGCTTTAAACACACTTGCGAATGTGTTCCTGGAACCAACCAGTACTGAGCAATGAGTGTAAAGTTTCTTGCTCAAGGAAACAACAACTTGCCCCTGTCAGGGTTTGAACCAATGCCGTTAGCGATCATTAGATTACTAGTCCAAAGCCTTGACCAGTCTGCCATTCTCATTCTGCCACTGCACTACAGTATAAGATTTTGAAAACAACTGAATTTTACTGTTCCCATAAAAATCATTGCTTTTTTCCCTTTAAATGATTCTAGAAAGCTGGTTTTCCATTATGAAATTCCAAATATTTTATTTGCACTGAGAATATTGCTTGACATAGATTAAGTCTTTGCATCCATGTATTTTAGTATGCAAGTTTTATTGGTGTTCATGTACACATATATACCTTGTTAGGACGTGTAGTAATATAACTTGTTAGGACGTGTAGTAATATAGTGTTAGATCAGAATTTCCAGAGGTTATACACATAGCATGTCATTGGGAGAATGTCAGAAATTTAATCAATAAAATCTATTAGTCCCCCCCCACCCACTAAAAAAATGAAAACAAAACAAAACATCAACAAAAACATACCATGCAACATGCAGGGGATATGCAAATATGCAAAAAAGTTAAGGAAGCAGTCAAATTTTATATCTTTATTACAACTGGACTGGTTAACGTCATGGACATTCTACTCTTTAAATTGACACTCTACGACCCATTGTAACTGCCACTTGAAGTCATGTAATGACCCGCCCATGCCTTGATACATTCTCTTTTTTGGCCTGGAGGAGAAAGATTTTCTAAGACTTCCATCTTATAATTTTGTTGCATGTTTTTATTTTCAGATTCAACTAAAGTCCCGTCTTCTTCTAGAGAATATCAAATTGTCAGTACATATACAGTGGCCCCTAGCGTGTAACTTGAACTCCTTCAATATAGCAGCAGTTGGTATGTATAACATGTTCCAAGTATCAAATGTTATATTTGAGCCATGTCACGACAAAACCAACATAATGGGTTTGCGACCAGCATGGATCCTTACCAGCTTGCGCATCTGTGCAATCTGATCAGGATCCATCCTGTTCGCTGTCAGTTTCTCAACTTGTAATAGAGTTGGTAAGCGAACAGGATGGATCCTGATCAGACTGTGCCAGGATCCATGCTGTTCGCTTACCAACTGTGTAGTAAGTAGAGAAACTGATAGCAAACAGCATGGATCCTGATCCGACTGCGCGGATGCGCATGCTGGTCTGGATCCATGCTGGTCGCAAACCCATTATGTTGGTTTTGTCGTGACGCGGATCAAATTTTATATTTTAGTGCATGTAGCACTGAGTGGCACCTGAGGCCTTCCTTCGTTATGTCTTCTTCTGTGTTGTTGCGACAGCTAGAAACATTTAAAGTTATGACCCATAGTTTAAGATTCAACCCCAACTAGAAACAGTTAAAATTCTGCCCAAATTAGAAACATTGAAAGCTATGACCTATGCCTTAATATTCAGCTCCAACTAACTCTAGAAACATTTAACGTTATAACCCATTATTTAAGGTTCTTCCCCAATTAGAAACATTTTTCATTTTTCAATTTTTATAATATCTCGCTTTGCAGTTGGTTGGTTTTTGGATATTTATTTTAGCTCTATTGAGAAACAAGTTCTTGCAACTTCTATTAATCACTTTTGAGTCTGCTTCTTGGAACCAGCAAGAACTGGTGTCATATGAATAAACATGGTCGTGGCATAATGCAGTGGGTCTTTATGTTACTTATATTTTAATTTTTGTATGCTTAGTAGATCTATTTACAGTAAAAAAGGTGGGGATTTAATATCTTTGTTCATATTTTAGATCCCAACCAGCCTTCAGAGTCTTTCTGTGCTTTCTTTATCCGGGGGAAAGCCTTGCCCTCGGAACTGATGGCAGAAGTGTCGGCAAAATACATCAGTACCACAGGTAATTTTTTTTTTTTTTCTTGTGCTAGACATGTGTACTTTAATAGCCTACTGAATGGTTATTTACTGAGCAGAGATAAAAATCAAATAAATTCTGCATCAATAACTGGTAACTAATATATGAGCCGCGTCACGACAAAATCAACATAATGGGTTTGCGACCAGCATGGATCCAGACCAGCCTGCGCATCCGCGCAGTCTGATCAGGATCCATGCTGTTCGCTTACAGATCCTATTATAAGTAAAGAAACTGATAGCGAACAGCATGGATCCAGATCAGACTGCACGGATGTGCAGGCTGGTCTGGATCCATGCTGGTCGCAAACGCATTTTGTTGGTTTTGTCGTGACGCGGCTCATATATACATGCGTGTCATTTGTCTGACTAGAACTTAATGAAGATTTTATGAAACAGATTTTTTTTCCCGTCAAATCAGACAACAGCTTGTATGTTTTTGAATGATGAAATATAACTCAGTTATTTCAAATGAAAATTGTCATTAAACAAATTCATGATACTTGAAAGTATTTTACTGTTTGTAAACTTAAGAAATTCCCCCCCCCCCACACCCCCTACAAGGTTACAATAGATATACCCTGGCCCTAAGAAATCTTGCATGGCCGAGTGGTTAACGCATCATACTAGCAATCCAATGATTGCTAGCCACATGCGTGAAACCCCCTAAGGGGCAAGTCCTTGTTTCTTTCAGCAAGAAACTTCACACTTATTGCTTATTACTGGTTGGTTATAGGAACAGATTCAAAAGTGTGTCTATAAGCTTATAGCTTCCTATACAATAGGACTAAAATAAATTCTGTATAAACCAATTAATTACTAGTTACTTATCCAAGAAAGCCAGTAAGGCAGATCAACTGCTAAGATATGAGAAAATAGTGTAAAATCAGCCGCGTCACGACAAAACCAACATAATGGGTTTGCGACCAGCATGGATCCAGACCAGCCTGCGCATCTGTGCAGTCTGATCAGGATCCATGCTGTTTGCTAACCAACTCTATTACAAGTTGAGAAACTGATAGCGAACAGCATGGATCCTGATCAGACTGCGCGAACGCGCAGGCTGGTCTGGATCCATGCTGATCGCAAACGCACTATGTTGATTTTGTCATGACACGGCTCAAATCAGCATTTAAAACAAACAAATAGATGATTCAACAAAATAATGTAAACAATATCACAGTTAAAGGGAGGTAACTTCAAACCCAATGAATGTTATAATTCAATCTTGGATTTAGATCAGTATTACTTTAATGAAACAAGATCTTTTGATATGTTAGTGCTATTTTTAGTTCCTGAAAACTGATATCTTTTTCATTATGTTAGAAGAAGACGGTTATAAAAAAAGTAAGTATAGGTGTTGATGGTTATAGATTGTTCATATTTGTTATTTTATTATATTATCTTCAGATTTTGTTTTATAGTTGAAGAATATAATCAAATTCAAATAAATGTTATATGATGAAGGCAAGTTGTTGTGTTCTCCAATTTTAAATGTTACCATTTTTGACAAGTAACCTTGTCTCATGACAATAGATGCAGGAAAATGTTTCATTATGTACAAAAAGAAACCCACTTATTATAAATAACTGTTATCATGATAAAAAAGTTATTAATTTATGTCATTTTCTTGACAAAATTATAAGTCAGAATGATACTGGAGATTTTACTGTATTAAAAATATTATAAATGTCTTTGACTTTTAATTTTAGTTAATTCTTTCATCATTTATTACTCTATAAATCTAAACTTCACATGAGAGTAATTAATCTAAACTTTACATGGGAGTAATCCTCTCATTTTTACGTGAATGAATATGCACTTCCAAATTTTAGCACTTATTATTCAGATGCCTGTCAGGAATGGGCTCAAGCTCATACAAACATGCTTATGCCAATGGAAACCAAAAATATTAATGATTACAATTTTAATATGTTGAGTGCATTGAAAAGAAAATAAAAACTGTTTAACATACATATATGTATTTGCTGCGGGAGAGCTTTTGTCCGCCCTGTCATTTTCACTGTAGGGCTTTTGTCCGCCTTGTCATTTTTGGATGGGAGGACTTTTGTCTGGAAGGCTTTTATCCTTCATCCATAGTGTCATGCCAGCCTGAACATCAGTGCAGTCTGACCATGTACATACCGTTGCTTACATTAACTCCATCTTTTCATGTTCCCAAAATTGATAATGGACAATTCCAAAATTAGAAATCTGGACAAGTCCATGCAAGAATTGCAGGGTGTTAAGTTTTATGATATTTATATTTTCAGGAGCTGTGCGGATTGCTTCAGCACATATCAAGCTTCCACTGAAGTTGATCGTGAAGCCAGTTTTACCTGTGAAAAATGCTATACACAAACTGACGTTTGATACCAACAAACCACCTGTGAACCTTAATGACGTATTCCCCGGTGAGTTGATATGGTGACATGTGAAATATTTTGCTTACATACAATTTGTTATGAAATTGAGATTTATTTATATCAATTTATCCATAGTAGCTAACAGAAAACCAAATGGAAAACTATTCCAGAAGAACCACTTGTTCTTCAGTTTGGTGTACATTACATAGGACATACACTGCATTGCATAGAAAGTCCTAAATGTATCCTTAGACCTAGGACATAAGACCAACTTTAGGACTAACTTAAGACAGTTTCAATAAGCACTTTTATCTGTAGTCAAAGAAATTGATAAAATTTAATTTCCTGACAAAAGTGTGTGTATCTGTCACAGAAAGCTTGTCATAGAGTGCCCTGTTTTCATCAAATGCCCTGTTTTCATCAAATGCCTTGATTTCATCAAATGCCCTAGTGACATCAAATGCCCTGCTTTCATCAAATGCCCTGTTTTAATCATATGCCTTGATTTCATCAAATGCCCTAGTGTCATTAAATGCCCTGGTCTCATCTAGTGCCCTGGTATCATCAAGTGCCCTGGTGTCATCAAATGCCCTGGTGTCATGAAGTGCCCTGGAACACCTTGTCTTAATTTTCATGACTTATGGCCCCTTGGTTTTTGTTTGTATAATTTATGTAATATTGTTACAATTTCTTGTCACTTGTTTATTTACAGATTTATTAGGAGAGAATGCAGGTGGTCAGGGGGCAGCACTTGGTTTTCAATATTTTGGTGGTCCAGTAGTTACAGTACTTGCCTCAAAAACTTCAAGTAAGTTTTTTAATAAACTACATACATAGAAAAACTGATTTTGTCAAGACTGGAAACAGTAAGATTAAAATTGTCACTTTAAGGCAATGCTACAGTAATTTATATATGATTATGGAAAGAATGAAAACTGTGTAATAGAAGTTATTTAAACTTTACTTGATCTTTATAAGATAACAGAAACATTTCAAAGGGGGAGGTGTAATACCATCGGATGTCTTAGATAGATTTGACACTATCTTGGACGTTAAACCAGGATCCATGTTTATCTGAATGTATTGCGAGAAATATGTTATTAGAAAACACAATTAGATATGAAAAAATACACATACAAGCAGGAAAAAAATCATTTATCTGTGGCATAGAGATTTACTCGGGTAGAAATACAGTTAAAGAAACTTACACTGTTCAAAATGTTGAAGAATCAAGATAACAAGAGGGTAAGTAATATAAAAAAGCATCAAAACGTGAGGTTATCTGATTTGAATGAGGGGGCATAATTCATATTGCAAAGTAGTTTAATGTTCTCTCTCTTTTGTATCATGAGCAAAAATAAAAACACTTTCCCTGTTGCCACAATATGAAACCCCAGAAAAATGTAACCAAGGTACAAAGCATCTAAATATGACTTTTCTATTGATATCCATGTCCCTGTTGTCACAATAAATAAATCCCAGAAAATAAATGAGCCAATCAACAAGCATGCTCCATTTTTATCCACAACAAACAGTGCACTAACTGGAGGCGGGTCACTGATACCTGTTCACAAGTTAAAGCTCTGTTCATGTGAGGGTATATGATTAAACTCAAAACTTCAATAGAAAGGTTGCCAGACTGTGTTACAATCATTTTAATGAATTACTATTTTTCAGATCGATACCGGTTACAGTGTGACCTGTTTGAAGGACTGTGGTATGTAGCGAGAGATTTAGCCTCCCGACTCAACAATCACTTCAGTAAGGGTTCAGGATTTAGTCTATATTTCAGTGGTCAAGTTCCACTAAATGACTATTTTGACATCATCGAAAACCATTTTGAGGTTAGTATTACAAATTTTCCGTGTTAAAATTGTATATAATACTTGTGATTGGTAAAAAACCAAAGTCAAAATAATTAGCATGAACATACAAACATCGGGGGTTTGTTATACCATGATAGAATCATAATGCCGCAGAAATCTTTTCTTTTTTTTAACTCAATAGAAAAGTTAATCATGTATTCAATGATTCTTTGATGATGGATTTAGTGCATGTTAGATGTTAAATAACTGAAGAAATTAGCACCAAACATGCAGTTTTGTGTTGTAAATGTAGAAAAATATTAACCAAGTAGTATTTTACTTCCATACTAAATCACTATAATTATTTCAATTGCCAAAAAGCAAAAGAAGCAAAAGATAGTTCATCTTTATGGCCAATGAGTAACTTTTTGGAAACTCAATAAGATACCAAAAATGGAACATGTTTTAGAAATAAAAATAATTCTTGTAGGTTCATTTTGATAATTTGCATGTAAAAGTGTATATATTACATCAGTAAGGTTTATTTGAATGTCACATGTTAAATATAGAAACCACGTTTCTGTTTCCGGAAGTTTCACGATTAATGATTCTCCTCCTTTGAAGAGTATCTAGTATAGTTTAAATTCATACTACAGTACTGGATTAAACACGCATCTACCTACCCGCTAGATGTGTTTAAGAAAGATTATCGAATACCAGATTCTAGATAATCCCTTTCAAATAAAGTATGATGATATATTTACAATGTTTTTTTTTCTCAAATACTACAGCACAGGGTAAATGCCGAGGGCTGTAAGGAAATGCTGTCTCAGCGAGCCTCGCAATTCCGTGCAATTCAGCGTCGACTGTTGACCCGATTCAAAGACAAAACGCCAGCGCCATTACAGAACCTGGACACGTTACTTGAAGGGACGTACAGACAACTTATCCATCTTGCGGAGACTATACAAGAGAATGACTTAGCTCTTGAAGTGGCTTCAAATTCACTGAGTTGTGCTACAAACTTGTTTAATTTTATACTCAAATTGTGGACTAACATGTCAGAGGAGGAATACGGTGTGTTAAAGTCTAGTATAACGTCGCAGGTGACGGATACGCTCGACGCAGTGAGTATTATTGTCTATTCTATTAAATATTGTGGCATTTGCGCTGTAGGCCACAAAAGTAATAAAAATCATCACTCCAGGGTTTAAATTGACCTTGAAAAACCTTACTAATTTAATTAGTTTATACAATCAAGATTTTGATGTGTATTTATTAAATTAAATTTTATACAAAATAAACAGTATTTATTAAATAAAGTTTTATCAAGTGAGCCTAAGACAAGCATAAATGAAGTAATGAAACTGTATGAATATGATATTCTTTTTATCATTTTCACAAAAACAAGAACAGTTTACAACAAAAGATAATACTTTTCTAGACTGACATGTTTAAACTGTAACACTAACATTACACATGTGTTTATGCTATGTTTGTATAACACATATGATGTGTCAAAATATATGCATTTCCATGCCATACTATACTGTTTTTATAGAGTCATAAAAGTGGCAGGGATATGTCATAAATGGAGGATATTGAATGAGTGTAGATAATAGATTAATACTAAATTTATTGAATGAGTTGAATAAAATCATGTTATGTGAGCCTCTGATGAGCAAAATATTACTTTATTCAAGAAGTTCAATAAATTTAGTATTGAATCTATATGAATGTAATATTCTATTTATCACATATGCAAAATAAGAACAGTATACAGTCAATAAAATTCATTATTCATTGCCGTGTCTTAAGTTTAACGCTCACATTAGGGTGCTTTAACGCTATGTTTATATACATCGAAATGACGTCACGTCAAAGTGTTACTACACTAGTGTAATATCGTTTTTATTAAATGGCCTTATTACACTCCTGTGCCATGGTTGATATGATAAATGTGAGTGTATGTATTTCAGGGCTGGGAAGAGACTGTAGACGCATCAGTTACTCATCTTCTCAGAACAACGCTCGCCAAGTCGGCTAAGGATCAGACGTTAAACCCACAACCCCTGAAGCTCCCAGAAGACACTAGTAAAGTTAAGAAACATATAGCTCTACTCTGTGATAAACTTAGTAAAGGTGCCAGACTCGTGGATGGTCTACCGGTCAATATGAGTGGTAAACATTTTACTTTTATATGTTTTTGTTGTTATTAATGGCAACCGGCCCACTTAGCTCAATAGGGAGAGCATGGGATTAGTAAACCGGGGGTCCCTAGTTTTTAGTGTGACGAAATTTATGTGATGATTTATCTGGGACATCAAGTCTAATGGTCATTTGACTTTTTCGGCGTATTTTAAAATCATGCAGGATTTGTAACTGGTAACTCGCTAAGAAATTGGTAATTACTGGTAACATATCCTAGGAAAGCCTGTTAGGTAGATTGACTTACAATTTATGACTAAGATAGTCTTAAAGCAGTATAAAATCAGAAAATTAAACAAACAATTATTTTTGCAACCACTTTGCTATTTTTAGAGAGATTCAGTTTTCACTTATCATGTCTGTATAATTGACTACTCTGAAAATATTGTGGCATTTGTGGTGTAGGTCTGAAAAGTGATAAAAAGCATCACTCTAGGGTTTAAATTGACCTTGAAAAGTTATATTTTACAAAGGCATACTTAAAGATTTTATTTTAATCTTAAAGGGCCTAAAGTTAAGATGAAATAGAGGTAGCATTTATAGTTGGCTCTTTCAAAAAGAACCTAACTTAAGGATCATTGGTTAAAAAATTTCTGTAGTCATGTGGTCATTCTTTTCTTTTGCTGTTTTTCTCAGGTTAACAGTAGACCTCTTCCATATGTCATTTATAATTTTCTTACTTATTCTTTTGCACTTCCTTCTTGGCTATAACTTGGCAAATATTTAAATATGCCATCATTTGGACGGCTCTTGTTATGAAAATATCATCAAATGTTGTGCAATATAAACAAAAAGTTTATATCATCTCCTTAGTGCAGTAACAACTTAACTCCTATTAAATATAGTTGGACTTAAACTCTTACTGCACTGATTGTTTTGTCATGTGCTGCCAACACTTGATAATAATTTATTTTCCAGTGTCACAAGGGGGACAACCCAACAAAGCAGAAAAGAAAAACAAGGTGTCCTCAACACGTAAAACAGTGATAGAGAATGGCGACATGGATCACCATGACAACGATGATACGGAGACTCTGATTGGCTCTCAGTTTAGCAGGGCAAGGTCACATGATAAAGATAATATCAATATGAATGGAATACCTAGTTTAGCAAATATAGGAGCACCAAAGAAACATGAACCTGATGGTGAGTAAAATGTTTTGAATTGTTAACATACATGTGCAATTTCAATGATAGGAATATTGGTTGCATTGTGTATTTCATATGGAATGAATTATACCTGTTTTCTTCATTTTGAATTGGGTAAAGAATAATGGTTGTATGCTAAAATGCATATGGAATGAATTTTACCCGTTTTCTCCACATTTTCTCAACATTTTGAATTGTTATGATTGAGTAAAGAATAATGGTTATATACTAAAACAAATATGGAATTAATTTAACCAATACCATGCTTATTTTATAAAATGAACATGAGGGTGCAGTGGTGACTTTAAAAGTTTGAATTATTATACTCTTGGTCAGGTCCTCAGATTGTAAAGTCCAAGCTAAATGCCCTCACAATGTGAGTAATGTCCCAGCTAAATACCCTTGCAATGCGAGTAAGATTATCCAATGTGTGTGCGGAAATGAATGAACCACATTGTCCAGACGGTACAGTGTTAGTAATAGAAGCTTAATACTCTAATTAACCCACTTTCCCCTGAACTGCCTTAAAGCCGCAAAAAACCCTGCCCTGGTAGGGAGAATTTTGTAGGCGTGTTTATCAGATAAATCATGCAAAGGACGCTGTACCTGTGCTAAATTTAGCTGATGTAAACAAACACTATAGCAGACGATAACATTTGTTATTACTGATCAGCAGCTCCCTTCCTAGAGTAATATTTCAAGTTTCTACTGGAAAGTTAACACTGCCATACAACCTGCAGTTCATGACCCCATTTTACTCCGCCCCCGGATTTTCAAATTTTTGACAGTTAACTGATTTTTTTTCACAAAGTACATTTAAGTGAATCTTTTGTGATATTTTCTCTGCCATTTTATTTCAAATGTTGCAAAGAAGCTATACAAAAGATTTTAGGCAAAATACTTCTTGGTTATTTTATATTTCAAAAAAGGGCTGTTAGATGTGAAGCATGTCAAAAATACCATGAAAATCTGCCCCAGGGCCATCTAGTGGCTTAAATAGTCAAGTTGCAGGTTTAAGAGAAGAGAGTGCTGGGGTTACATCTTAATTGGTGCCTTATGTTTATGAATTATATTTTTAGGAATATATGAATCAAAGAAGAAGAAGGAGATCATAGACTCTATGGTACCAGACCTGGAGGAGATGAACTTTGAAGGACCTAACTTAATGCCTATAGAAGATGAGACTGAATGATACCATCAATGTTGTTTTTATGTAAATATTGTTTTTAGTCTCGACTGTTAAAAGAATAGGGAGAGCTATTGCTCTCATTCTGCAGTGCCTGTCAGCGTCACCCTGGTGTCAGTGCCGGCCTCACATTTTGGTTAATTTTTTGGGTGCAAGTTGGTATCTACAAAGCTACTGAAGGGAAACAGATTGAAACTTCAAACATTTGTTCTCTTATCTTATATGATGGGCACAGGTCCTGTAACTCTGAGTTAGCTTTTTATAGAGTTATGTCCTTGTAACTCTTGATTAAGGTCCTGTAACTACAAATTTAGATCTCAGGTATTTATTCGGACAGAAACCAACACAAAATGTATATTGACCAATGAAAATCCTGAGATTCGAGACGGAACTCAGAAAAAAAAGTTTTATAACCTCGAGGCCAGCTGGCTTATAAATATCTTCACTGTTTGCTATTCAGTCAAATTGTTATTTTGAAATTATTTTTATATTGAAATTATTCATAAAAATGATGAATGATTTATCTATTTATTATAGTCTACATGATTTATATATTTGAAAGACGGACATGTCTTTTAAATTTTTCACTTGAGTAAAGGTTTTTTTGTTGTTTTTTAAAAAAGACAGAAAAGAGATAAACACTAGTACAGATTTTTTCATTCTCCATTTATAAACTGTTGAATAAAACTATAATTTCTGATAACATAAATTGAATATTTGTTTTCCATTTTCAGGTATGAAATCTACGGGTGCCAAAGGGGGACCAAGATCATCATGTTTTCAGAACCAGGAACTAGTATCATCAGCCGTTAGACTGGTTATACATCCTCAGAGTAGACTGGTTTAATAAAAGGAACTTAATGAAAGGGACAAAAGCTTTACAAGTAAAACCAGACTGGGATTTTTTTTTAAAATTCTCAGTATTGTGAAATTGATTCCACTGTTTTAAGCTGAACTTTATAAAATAATGTGCTTTTGAAAGCAAAATTGTATATTAATAAATGAAATAGGAAAAAATGTGCAGTTTGATGGCTCATTGAAACACTTGTGTCGATTTTACTTGTTCTTTATTTCCAGAAAGAGATATCACTTTTTTGTCCAACCATTCAATGATATAATGTTTATACATATAAATATTGAATGTTGACACACTTAGTAAACACATGATTTTGTAGAAAGCAATGGTTCTCCTAATTTAGAATTGTACATTTAATTTATATATTTCATTTCAATTTATTTTAAAGGGAAGTGAATTTTATATAAAGTGCCTGTCTATTTTGACATACATCGGTCGGTACAGTCTGACTTAACTGTTTGCTAACCGCTGCCTTAGAATTATCAATGAATTTTTGGTTGCATTGGGGTTAAGGCATTAGCCTGGCAACCTAGGGATTATAAGTTCTTGACATACTGGAGTTACGACCTTGCTTTCTCATGACCGTCATAGCTCAAACTCGGATCTCAGGCATTTGATTGGTCAGACATTGCCAAAGAATGTGCACTGACCAATGAAAATGCTGAGATTTGAGACAGAACTCAGAAAAAAGTTTAATAACCTTGAGGCCTCTGGGTCAAATGTTACAAAGATTTTTTCTACGCTCAAACTTAAATCTCCAGTAATCTCCAGATTGGTTTTAAACCAGCTCTGAATGTACACTGACCAATGAAAATGCTGACATTTTAGACTGTTCAGAAAAGGGGATTTATAATCTTGAGGCTTATTACTGGTTAGTTTGAGGAAGCGGAGTTTTGACTGATTCAGATGAGATAAAATAAATATGTAAAAACCAAGAAATATCTTGATAGTGGACATTTTAACTTCAAATCGTACAGAAATTATCATCTTGCAATTTAAATAGCAATAATATCTGGAGCTAGAATGTACTTTTGAAATATTTGCATGAAAAATGAGACATATTTTGGGTGATAAGTGTGCTGTGAAGGTGTTGTTTTTTTTAAGTTGACCTATTCTAAATGTGGTTTTTACTTTAGGATATACTAGATCTACAACGTTTCTTTGTTAAAGTGTTCCGTTTTGTATTTTGTTTTGTTTTCTTAATGAAAAAAAAATCTCATTTACGTTTTGTCAAATTCATGTACTTATGTGAACATGTGTATGTTATTTATTTCTTTGTTATGTTTATTTGTAACCACACTTGCATTTCATTATGTACAGTTAGATCTAGGTCTGTCCTCTTACATTACTTCATGATAGCGTGTTAGGAAATTTGAGTCGCGTCATGACAAAACCAACGTAATGGGTTTGCGACCAGCATGGATCCAGACCAGCATGCGCATCTGCGCAGTGACCAGGATCCATACTGTTCGCTGTCTGTTTTTCTACTTATTATAGGTTGGTTAGCAAACAGCATGGATCCTGATCAAACTGCGCGGATGCACAGGCTGGTCTGGATCCATGCTTGTTGCAAACCCATTATATTGGTTTTGTAATGGCGCGGCTCATTTATGTTTGTTTATATTCCATTTGCATTCCAATTTGTTTATGATATTGTTTTTAGTATTTTTACCGCTTAGCCCGTTATGTTATATAACTGTGAAATTGAAGCATTCATGTCGAATTTTTGAAGTCGAATATATCTACCTAGGCAGTAAAAAGGATTCTTTTCTTAATTAATACTTAAATGTTCCATTTTTTTTTTACTAAAAAAAAGTTCTTAATTTGGATATGTGATAAATAGCATGTTATATTTGTGTAGGTCCATTCCTAAATTTATTGAAGGAGTTGAAATAAATTATATTACAGATATTCATAATAGAATGTACACTCATTTTAATATCCTGTAATTTATTTTTGTTTATTTCGTTAAAGAATAGACAAGTTTCATTTTGTGCATTGAATAAATTATTTTCATCTGTAATTAGTAATTTCTGTTTTAGAAATAATCTCAATGTTTTTATGACATAATGTTGATAATCATTGCTCATCTTGTATACACTGTGAATATTTAGCTATACCTACATGCTTAGTGTAATTATCCTATTTCCCTTAGCTCAACCCTGATTCAAAAATCATATGGAATAGATGTTATCTGGACCTCGGCAATGTGGGTTTTTCCCACCTAATCTGTAGGTACAAACTTACTTTTACTGTTATAGCTTCACACTGCACTACCCATCACAATAGATAAGCCAACTGTTTGGCTCATTTTCAAAGCTGTAAATGTAAAGGTTTGTTTGTATCTATGTTATTAGCTGGGAAAAACCCAAATATTCTTAATTCCAAAGTTAGTCTATAAGTAGTCGTTCACTTGCAGAGAAGTTGGTAATTACTGGTTAGTTATCCAGGAAAGTTTTTTAGGCAGATCAACTGCCGCGATTTGGATAAAAGATATGTTGAAATCAGCTTAAAAACCAGTAAGACAAACATGTTTAGCTCAATAACATATAAATAATTGATCAGTTATTAAATGGTTATTTTTTAATGAATGAAGGTTGTTCTTATATGCAACAGTTGGCGCCCAGCATAATGCGCCTTTATACAATTTTAACCTTACCTTATTTATCTTGCATTTAGTGAAACTCCTGCTAGGATCCTCAAAGAACTAATGCAAAAAAAACAAAAAACATTTTGATATTGAAATCCCTCAAATTCTTAATGGACTGTCTTGAAATAAAAGTAGGATGAGTCCATTAATGAATATTCAGGGGGGTGGGGGAAGAATTTAAGTTATTTTAATGTGATGTAAGGTTTTAAACGTGAAAGTATGGCAGTGTTGTGTTTCAAGGTGTCTTTTATTTGCAAATCATGCAAATATCTTGAAAATAATGTTCATTTTTCCCAAAAATGTGATTTTTTTAATGTCCCTTAAACTTGTGTTTATATTCAATTTTTGAAAGAAATGAAATGAATTGAAAATCACTTTAGGAGATTGTAAGAGACTGAGTGGCTGTGTGTAAATTGTAATTTTATTTAAAAAAAGAAAAAAATGTTGCTAGGCAACAACATATCATGTATATTTATAAATCTTTTTCAACATTAAAACATTCCGTCCAAGTGAGTCTTTACATATCATACACAGCTGTGTGTCACAACTAGACGTTTTAAATCAAGATGTTTATGTTTCTATTGTGTCTTCTTATGTGATTATTTGTGATGTCCGTCCATAGTAAAGTGGTGTACTTTAAAAAAAAACATAATTTGAATTTAGAAAATTTTGTTTCCCTTACATTGAATTCTTATACATTCATTTATTTATTGTTTTTTGTTGCATTTTTCTCTTTAGTTTAAAGGAACTCCACTGAGGTCCAATAGCCTAAAATAATAAATTTTGAAATTCTTTCTTTAATCAACTGGTATACTTAAATTTGAAACCAAGCAATAGATGATTTATAAATATACACTAGATTAAATTGATAATCGATTTTTATGGGATTTTTGGCCGATTTGAGTGAAAAGTGTTGCAACAGTTTTCATGTTTAGGCCAATTTGCACAATAAAATTAATTATTTCTTGGAAACAGAGTGAGCGAATGGTCTGAAATTTTGTACATGAGTTATTGGTCTCGATATACATCTAGTTATACAAAAATCTTGAAAAAAATATTTTCGACCATTCATGTCCAAAAACCTCAGTGGAGTCCCTTTAAATTCCTGAATTATTGCAGAATTAATAACTCAGTCAGCTTGGAATTTAATGTTAACCATTTTAGTTAAGTCCATTATACATTGACAAGCAGGGTAAGATAAGGTACCAGTTTCAAATAGTGCAGAAATATTTTGAAACTTTTAGTGAAACTTTCCTTACTTTTTCCTGTATTTTTTTGTTAATTTGTTTTTTCGGAGAGTGTCTATTGTATGAAATTGTATGAATATGTATTCATTATGAATTTATTTGGTATAATTTTTTCTTCTACAGAAAATATTTAAGGACTTGGTTCATAATGGTTGATATTTAATAACATTATCTTTAGTTGAATTTTACAAAGCAGATCATTCACTTTCCAGGATAATTATTTTAATTGAAAAATGACAAAAAAGGTAGTCTTACTGTAATGCTTTCCTGCCAAGAAATTTCTAACATCGGCCAATATCGTAATAAATTGGTCATTTCTGGAATGTCATTTTTCACAATCATCGATATTCAATATTTTTTTAACCTTTAGAATCGGAATATGGAGTTTAGGGATAAAGGATGAGTGATTGTAAATAATCTAATGCCCAAGATTTTGGAAAAATAACGTTCCGCAAATAACCAATTTGCTACGATATTGGCCGATGTTAGAATTTTTTGGGCAGGAAAGCATTACAGTAAGACTACCTTAAAAAGAAATTAAAATTTTGTGGGTTTTTTTTAGGGCTTTTGGACCTCAGTGGAGTTCCTTTAAGGGTGTACAAAGGCCTACATAGACAATTGATTCAGAAAAAGATTGAAAAAGATTATATCATCACCTTAGTGCAGTAACAGGTTATGTCCTTTTGAATCTAATACGAGTTAACCAGTTATTGCACTAAGCTGACGATATTGTGCTTCTCACACTGATAATTAGAAGATTTTATTTTTGAAACGAGAGTTTTGTATGAGATTTGAAATAATGGTTGTGTTATAATATATATGAGCCACGCCATGACAAAACCAATGTAATGGGTTTGCGACCAGCATGGATCCAGATCACCAGCCTTATTAGGATCCATGCTGTTCGCTATCAGTTTCTCTACTTGTTATAGGGTTTGTAAGCAAACAGCATGGATCCTGATTAGACTGCGCGGATGCAAACGCATTAAGTTGGTTTTGTCATGACGCGGCACAAATGTAGATTTTTTCTGTTCAGAGAATCCTGGGAAAATGTTTTGTATAAGTGCTTTATTATGAAATAAAGAGGCAGTGAATGTATGTTTATGTGAAAAGATTTTCGAAGGAAAAAATTTGATTCTTTTTTGTAATATTTATATCTTGATTTCCCTGTTTTTCACAAATGAATCCACTTTATAATGGGTTTTCCCCTTCTTGAGATCTTTGAAATAAAAGATGATGTACCACATACTGGTGTTGTTGTTATTTTATGTAACAAGATCTGCCGCCGGGTTGGGGCAATGCTCATTTTTATAGTTTTTCTAAAACCAAACAAAGAAATAGTTTAAACAAATCTTGAAAAAGAAAATTAAAGATAAGAATGAGAGAAAATGACAACTTTGTTTTGATTATTGTCATTTATCAAGCACAATAGCTCGACCGTGTAGATGGATGTTTGATAATGTATATTGTTATAATGCACCTGGTTGTCTGTCCGTCCATCTGTTAGCAAGTTTTTATGTCCAGTCTGTATCTTTTGTATGCATGCTTCTACACTTGGCACGTAAAAGAACCAGTGGAAGCTTCTGGAATTGAGGCATCTTTCTGTATCTGTATCTTGCACTATCCTCCAAAAATATAAAATGATTAACACTCTTCTGGAGGACTCGCCCATATCGGCAACCGGTGGCAAGTATAAATAAACTCAAATACACACAGCAATTTATCAAACCTTTGCCCATGAAAGATGTCTGCAGTACAGTACAAGCAGGTGTCAGCTTAACTTTTGATTTGCCATATTGTGGGCAGCCTTTCTCTAATTGAAAAACACATATACATATACTGGTATTCACTGGTTGAAGTAATTATAAACTAACTCAAAATATTTCCGAAAATTGTGATTTAACGGATGAAAATGCTAATACAAGGTTGAGGACATTTGAGAGTGCACTCTTTAAACAGTCAGACCCTGATGTGTTAAAATCGTGTCTCCGAGACTCTTCATTGTAACTTTTTGAAAACACAATTTTACAATTATTTCTTGTGAGTGTATTGGTAGATTGTTAAAAAACCATGATGATGTAGATATAAATTTATATTGTTTTTTTTTTTGTTTTTTTTTTTTCCTATCCTAACAATGTATTACTATTTCAACATGTGGACAATTTTGGTGTCCAGTAAGGTCACTGGTAGAGCCATCATATCAGTTTCTCAGCTTACGGGTTCAAGTCCTACTCGGGTGATCTTGAATTCTATGTTGTAACTGTAGGTAAGGTTGATGATTCTATGCATATGAAGTATACATAGATAATTGTATTGTAAATTTACCATATCATGTAGTGGATCTCCAGAAATTCTAAATATTAAAATTACCTTTAAGGTGTTATCGCTTTATGGAGCAGTATATATAACAGTTCTTATTAGTTCATGAACACAAAAAAAAAACAAGTTTTATAGAAATATATGCATTTAATTACTATATTTCCATATAAAAAATAGAATAGTTATTATAAACATGTTGAATAGTTTTTTAACAATTGTTATTACAGGTATCGATGTATTTAACAACATATCATACAAAAAAACACATATACAATTGTTATTAATAATTATGCTTCAGTTGTAAGTTAAACAAGGTTTTTTTTTCACTTTAAGATATTTGAAAAAAAAACCTATTATAACAAATATACAATAATTAATTCAATGGTGCATAGAAAAAACAGAAAGCACCTGATATCACTGAAAAACTGTAAAGTTAACAGCATGGCAAGTAATTCTAAAAGCATGATATTATCAAGCAACATTCCAAAAGCTACATGCTGAAAAACAAGAAAATATATAATGCAACCAGCCAAATTCAATTTTTGACTTGTTTTAATATTAGGAGGGCTGACAGATGGACGGAGGCCAAACGTCAAGTCCCCTCAGGTTAAACTGGTCGGGGACAATTTAGAATATAATAAATACGTGAAAATATCCACTGCATTATATAAAATTTGCTAAGCACCATAAGTTAATTTTTATATTATCACAAGTATACAAAAGATTTCTTTCCAATTTTTAATAAATTCTGATTCAGCAATGTTTGAGACAGTTACCTGACATGAATCCGTGTTGACTAATCCGTTACAACTCGTATAGGTAGCATGGAAAGCATGCAACCCAATATTTCATGTTTTTGATGGGGTGTACAATCGCTGTGTGTTTTTATAATGCCCGAAAGAATTTTGGGCATATTATGTTATACCCCCTTGCTTCCGTCCGTCCGTCTGTTAACAATTTTGTTTCCAGAGCATAACTTTAAGTTGCATTTGGCCCACAGTGTTCACACTTCATTGGATAATTGCCTATATTGGGTAGAAGAAGCCTATTGATTTTGGGGTCACAAGGTCAAAGGTCACTATTACCTTAAAACTGAAAACAGTTTCCGGAGCATAACTTAAGTTCCATTTGGCCCACAGTATTCAAACATCATAGGACGATTGTCCATATTGGGTAGAAGACCCCTTTAGATTTTGGGGTCACAAGGTCAAGGTCACTATTACCTTAAAACTGAAAACAGTTTCTGGAGCAGAACAAGTTCCATTTGGC